CATATACATGGCAAACATGATATATCAATTTCACAAAGAGTAGTGAACATCATCACCACATATAAAGAAAATGTCACAGTTTTTTCAAAGTTTCATATCACACCATGCATACAACAATATACAACACTTCAAAATGATAGGACTCACACTATGACATGGTTACTTCATGATCATGAAAGAATATTTAATATAAAAAACAAAGATATCATCCACCACAACATCAAACTTTATTGGAATGACTGAAACAATGCTCAACACATACAATTGATGGATCAACACAATCACTATCACGTGATCACACCATCATGACATGCATGTTTATCAACCTGAATGAACATCCAAGCAACCATGTTTCATCTCATCACTCTTCATGAACAACTTTGAACACTCATCCATTTGGTGACAGTAACGAACATGGTAGACGTATCCAATACTGTTGAAGGACACATCTACGATCACTACAAATGATTTCAATCATGATTCCGTCATCACAACACCAAACAACACTGATCAATCACAACAACATTTTTTTGGATAAATTCTAAATGCGGAAGTATAGGGTCAGTAAATCCAAACAAAATTCAAAATCAAGATGACATGAACATTGACGCATACGAACCATATATACGATACATCTCACATGCACTGATCATGAAAATCACTGAATTTACTCTTTATTATCAACGTAGCCATCATGAATCAACACAGGCTATCCATGAAAAAGTGTCAAACGTGACATGAGTGAATCCTTCCATCACACAATGAATCACAACACTCCACAACATCAATATTATCTCCATGGAACAAGATCAACACATGAGTGATTGCAACAACTTAAGGAAAAAAACATGTCTCACATTGTAATCCACTTCATGACGAAATCTTCTCAGGTGCTCAACAACAATACATTCTAGACATGAACAAACACAACAATTAATGTCTATGTGTTGTACACCATCTCATCTACCATAAAAAACTATCTACATCACTCTCCTGACAACTCTTCAAAAAATAATTAATAATCATTTTCATCACTTCTCAGGTGTCTCATAACAACATCAACTCATATAGATAAATATCATAAATTTCAAAATAACAATATCCTAGTGTGTATAATCAAATAAAGCCACTGTTATATTCTTGAAAGTATTCAGTATCGTAATATCATGTGAAAAAGAAAAATAATTTGAAAGAGTGAAACACCACTTCCACAACTTGTTGAATCAGTGAGTAAAAACAACATGGATATATCACACTCATCATGACGAACATGTTGATATGTAGTGTTCAGAGCACACTCACTCTCAGAAAAACATGGTGTCACATCACTATGACATTCATCATGATACTCCACCAATAATGATCACATCCATCATCAATAGTCATAGAAATACTCTCCGCAATGTATTATACAACATTGCAATCCTCGGTTTATCGAAAAACTAAATCAGTCAATTGTTATAAAATAATCATTCAATCATACAACAATACATACCAACAACAATTCATCATATTTTGATGATTATCATTTCCATGTGTATTCATACACACAAAATATTCCTGATGAATGTTGACCATGATGTACACATTTGATGTGATCAATATAAATATGACATGATGATGAATGGAAACATGACCCGATGTTGATGATGATCCTGTCAAAAATGCAGGGAGTTTTGGCTTCATTTTTTTTTAATTTTTTTTTGAAAAATTTTCATGTCATTTTTGAACTCGTTGAAACTCCTTCAAACTTGATTTTCTCGAAAACTACCCTAAACCTGATCGAATGCTCTATCATGACCCCCATTATTTTCGTGAGATCTACAACAAAGGTGTCGCTTAAATTCTATCAAAAATTTGACACCTGTTACCATTTGTTGAACGACTCAACCAGCTTAGCTCACTATCCAATGATGTCGCTAGCACGAATGTACTACTCTTCAAAATCTATCGAATGATGTGCTTGGATCATGCTCAACATCAAAGATGACGAAAACCCCGACCATGCAAAGAGTCATCATGATCACTTTCAACCATTCATAATCACATGAAACACTTCTACAATGATGATCATAACGTATCATGATGATTGAATGAATGACATGAACAAGAGAGGAGAGCTGTACCCTTTCTCAAGAAATGATGTTTTCTGATAAAATCGAAGTGCTCCCATTCTATAAAACAATCATGTCAATCAATAAAACTGATGATTTGTTGTTTGAATGATCAGAACAACCATGTGTAACAATTTCATGAAGATATGTGAAGTGCTTGTCTCGATCGTACTTTTCAGCTCTTCCATAGAGCCACCATCACACTTCACATCACACAAAGTCATGAAATGATCATCACTTTGAACTGAATCAACGATCAATTCCATGGTTTCTGATCACTGTAACAACATTCCGATCATCAGATTCATTCCATGATCATCACATCCAACGGGAGCAGTTCACTACAATTCCAACCACTACTATTTGATGATTATCATTTCCATGTGTATTCATACACACAAAATATTCCTCATAAATGTTGATCATGATGTGCACATTTGATGTGATCAATATAAATATGACATGATGATGAATGGAAACATGACCCGATGTTGATGATGATCACCTCAAAAATGCAGGGAGTTTTGGCTTCATTTTTTTTTAATTTTTTTTTGAAAAATTTTCATGTCATTTTTGACCTCATTTAAACTCCTTTAAACTTGATTTTCTCGAAAACTACCCTAAACCTGATCGAATGCTCTATCATGACCCCCATTATTTTCGTGAGATCTACAAAAAAGGTGTCGCTTAAATTCTATCAAAAATTTGACACCTGTTACCATTTGTTGAACTACTCAACCAGCTTAGCTCACTATCCAATGATGTCGCTAGCACGAATGTACTACTCTTCAAAATCTATCGAATGAAATGCTTGGATCAAGCTCAACATCAAAGATGACGAAAAACCCGACCATGCACGAGAGGTCTACTTTAAGCGAGTACAGTTCAATAATTACCCATAATTAATGGATGAAAGTCATATCAACACATAGATATACCTCCATCCCCGACGATTTCATAAAAATTAAAAATCCAATGATTAAGCATGTCGAAAAATTAAGATTCAAAGTCAAGCTGGGCACCTATCCAAACCCTTGAAGATAATGAGCCTTATACGCTTGATCGTTTAAATGTTCTGCAATGACGGAGATTTGTTGGGAAGATAAGAAAGTTCTTTCTCGAAATGCTAAAACATCTTCTTTGGATTGTCCAAGCTCTAACATATTCTTTTCTTTCATCATTTGAATAAGTTGTCTGTGCACAATTAAATCAGCATAACGACGAATGGGGCTTGTGAAGTGTGTATAAAACTCATTACACAACGCAAAGTGCCAAGTGCTCTCATATTTTTGTTGGAACCTTTCTGGATTTTGTTGTAATTCCATATCGTTTTCAGTAGCAGGCTTGATATTCTTACAATCTTCCACGGTAGCGTATTTAGCTAATTGCATTTCCTTTAACAACAAATACTGCACGACCTGCTTTAGTGATGTATGTTGCTCAGTTTGTGCTATTAACGTGTTCATCACTTGTTGAAGAGTAATAGGTCTTTCATTTTCCTGAATACCTTCTATATTTTGCTTGAGGCACTTCTCCAACATAGAAAGAACAATCAATTTTTCACCACGACGTTTTTCTTCTCCTTCGTTTGAAAGGTTTTCAATTTTCCATTTGTAAATATATTCGGCCAGACATGCAACGACTTCTGACCATTTGTCGATTTTTGGAGCAGAATGAATTCTCAGCAACGTGGATTCTCCAAAATAGTCATATAATGCTTTAGCAACAAGCTTATTGGCTAAAATCATCATTTCTTCGATCAGAATATGAGATTCATTGTGTTCATCTTTTGAGACCATAACAGGAAAACCAAACTTGTCACTTTCAAAGTTCAGTTTCATATCGGAAAGAAAAACATTTCCATTCTCCGCTCGTTGGCGTCTTAATTTTTGACTCAACTCATTGAATATTTGAACATCTTCATAAATTTCATCCAGAGTAAAATTACCATAAACGCACGGAACTTCATCTGTTTCAAGACCAAACTTGATTATCGGATCCATTTGATTTTCAACAAATCCTTTGAACTTGTTCTTGTGATAATGGAGAATCATCTTTTGAGTTTTGTTATAATCGAGCCTGCAACATGACTTCATGATGCATCTATTAAATTTTACCGATTCTTTCATGATTTCACATGTCTCACGATCAATAATGAATTCCACAGCTAGAGCGTATCGATTCACACCTTCATGTAATGAACAAAGATTCTGAGATAAGTATGGATCAAGCATGTGTTCCACACTGTTCATCAAATAGATACTTGTTCCTTGGCTTTTTGCTTTCTTGTCCATTGGAGAATTTAAAGGAACATATAGAGAAACATCAGCAATGGCAACAGTAATTAAAAACTGTTGAGCTTTTTCATAGGGTTTCCTATTCCAATCTGTAATTTCTGAGTTTGACTCATAAATAGGCTTGATTGCAATAGCATCATCTAAATCTTTTGCATGAGTTGGATCGATGGTGAAAATTCTTCTCGATTGACTCCAATCTTCCACTTGAATTAAATTATCAGAAGTGTCACCGTTAAAACCATCGTCAGTAATTTTGGTTTCGACTTGATCATTTTCGTTTAGGACATCTTTTGGGTTTGAAGCCTCTTTACCAGTCTCTTTTTCTGCAAGAATTTCTTTCTTTGAAAATAAATGATCGTACATATTCGGAAAGAATTGGAGCAATAAGGCCCTTTTCAAGCTCCATAAATCCTTTCTAAATCCTAAACATCCCAGTAGAGTACCTCTAGGGAATTTAATGTTCTTGTTCCAAGGTGTCATTTTGACCAAAAATATTCCCTCTTCCAATAAAAACAATTTGGAGTTAAACTTGTTGTTGAACTCAGAAACAGAAATCCTTAACTTGGGGTAACATCTATCGAGTGGTATTAGCCATCTTATATCCTTATTTTCAGTATTGTCCATTAAAATACAAGGAAAAATTGATGGAGATTTCTTTTTCAAGATGGCCACTACAATGCCTTGGTATGTCTTCTTTTCCTCTGAAGGTACATTTGTTGAGGTACCATAGTCAAGCTGTTCTCTATCTTCATGAGAAGCATCTTGTGTTTTCATCATTTTCATCACCGATCCTGCCACAGACTTTTTTTCTTCGACACGGATGGCCACAACGTCACCGTGCATGGCTCTATTTCTATTTTTGAGTTCATCTATGAAAATATCTTTCTTAAAAGGGCCTCCTACAACTGTAACATATGCTTCTCTATATTTCTTCTTGTTCACTCTTAGCTCGCCTTGAAATAGTTCTCCTTTTTGAATCATCTTTGCAACCAATTCAAGAGGCAAATGATCCTCGTAGCCTGAAAAATCCTTCTTCTCGTCGTAAATATTCCTGGAATGGACGCCAACTCTTTCCAATAAAACCTCCTGAATTGAGCCTCCATTTGAGAGAATTTCAAATGCTCGTTTAAACTCAGATACTATTAACGGCCCCATCTCATTTGAAACAACACACCCCAAGTCACGGTGTTCAAATGGATCCTCGATCGATATAATCGTTTGTGAGTTTCGTAAAACGTTCTTCCTTAGAACGGATCCATTTCCTCTTCTTATAGAAATGACATGGTCATCAAAATTAAAATGTTTGGCATAGTACTCAAAAAACATGAAAACTAAATGCCCCACAGTGAACTTTGAAACTTTCTCTATATCTGATGATTTCCAAACAAAAGGAAGTTTTTCAAGATTGTTGAAATATTTTGTGTCATATGTCTGCACGTGGTGAGGTCTGGAGATATCTTCCACACAAATATTCGTTGACAAGGTTTCGCTCATTGCAAGTTGCTGAAGAGATGGCAACACTTCAATGGCTTGTAAGAAATGTAACGTCATTAAAACATAGCTATATGACGCCAACGATCCTTCAGAAGCACTGCTAATACGTCTCCTCTTTGCCCAACTCTTGACAATGTAAATCAACATTTTCACTCGGTTCTTGATGTGAATATCAATACAAGCGTTATAGTACTTTAGCATTGTCTGGTCTACCATTAAGTAAGTGGAAATCATTCTAGTATTCACAATACCTAAATAATTGGCAACACATAAATCACAATCCAAATTTCTCTTGCTGTCATGAACCGTCAATATTGGAAATCTGGTCCTCCCAACAGATTTACTTTGCGGCTCCAAGTGACTGTATTCAACAGGGATGATCTTAGGGTTCATCTCTTTTCTAATCATTTCGAGAATTCTTGAATGGATATTATTATCATGAATGTTTTCAAACCCTTTAAAAGCAATACAAATGTCAATATCGCTTGACCCTGTCAAACTCAAATCACTGGCATATGATCCGAAGGTGAATATTTTTGGTTCCAACAGTGTTTCAGGAAAGATTTTTGAGATAATTTTAGAAATATCTTTCACAAGTTCTTTCTTTGTCTTTTGTTCTTCTACCGATGGCCTAAGCTCATTTTCATAGATGTGGATACAGTCGTGAGTGAACTGCATCATCTTCGCCTCTTCTAATACCGAGAAAACATTTGTCTCAAAGACATTAGGTGTTGGTAGAGCCATTCCTGACGTTGTTTTGGAAAATATTTGGAATTCATTCTCTACGCTTTGAGTTGTTAAAGATATATCTCTGAGGCACAAAGTTCTAGCATTGTCCCATTTGCTCAAGGCACGAAGAACTTTTTTGGAGTATAAGGGAAATAATTGAGGCGATAAATGAGGGAAAAACATGACCAAGAAAGCACAAATAGCTTGAATTTGCCACGCTGGAAACAATAGGACATCCTTTACATTCTCAGTTGAACTAAAGGAAGCCAACTTATCAGTCATTAGGAAACCCAAATCAGTAAAGCCAATATCATCTTGCAATGACTGAACAAATACTTTCATGACGTTCAAAAAGAAGTCTAAATTTCGACCGGTCAGATTTTGAGTAAGGGACAATAAAACGTTCTGGTACAAGGCGAAAATCATCTTTCTCTCAATGGCTCCTTTACATTTCAAAGAGAGGGAGGAAAGTTGAAAAAAGTCGGAAACTCTTGAGAGTGGAATCTTTTCAATATTGTTTCTGAGAAAATCAACCAACTTTGTAATAATGGACAATGGTACTGTTTCTGGTTGTAACTGCACGACTTGCATCAATGGTTGTTGTGTTTGGAACAGTGAAGAATGAAGCAACATAATAGTATCAGAAAAAAGGTCGTTCTTGAAGGATGCCTTCGTTTGATGAGACTCCATAACCGTGACAAATGTACATAGGGTTGATATTAATTGTTGCCTGTTCTTGTGTTGCTCGAGCTCTTGAAGGTCCTGAACGCCAAGTTGGTATGTTGCAGGAATTTGTCTTGCTACTGACAAAGTAGGTCCAATTTGTTGAATGTTCATAGAATCTTCATAACGTCCATTCATGATCGGATCGTATGAACGATTGAACCTATCTAGAGAATAATCGCCACTTGAATTAATTCCATTATATTGTTGTTTGAGATGAGCAGGTAATTGATTTGCATCGTCCACACCATAAGATTGAACTTGCTGGTAAAGGTTAGTTGTTGGCGTAGGAGGGTTTTGGTAAGAAAAAGGATAACCATTTGTATACTCCATTGATAATGGAGGTAGTTGTGCGTGATTACCAACGTTTTCCAAGAGAGAGAATTCAGATCTCTGTGATGGGAGCTGTGTATGCTGCATTAATGAACCAATCAAGTTGTCAATTTTTTTTTGAAAAGAGAAATCCAAGTAGAAACCTGTCATCGTTTCGTCAATCTCAACAAGGAAATGAAAGTGACAATATTTTTCGAACTTGTCACTAGTGAGTCTGTTCTACGCACACACCCTTGCAGACCACGGTTTTCAAACGAAACCTGAACGGCGACCACTAGGTTATCTCGCCTTACCTCAAATCCCACTCTCGTTAATAAAGTCTAATGACAAAATATGCAGAAAATCCCTCAAACACCAATCCTTTTCCTCTTTGGCGAGTTTCAAACCCATTAGTTTTCCTCCAATTAATTCCAAACTCTTGTTGTTTACAATGTAGAAACACCAAATAGACCAGTATGAATGGTGTTATGAGTTCCAAAATTTTGGAAAATCCCATGGGTTCAATCAAAATATACATGATCGCTGCTGTTTGAGCCATCATGATACGTTGTTGATTGAGAAAAAGAAGCAGACGCCTTGGATCGAAATTGTTGAGGAAATGTTTCAGAGACGACATGACGCTTTCTTCATACGATGGCTTCCCATTGCCTAGTACACGGCAACATTGAGAATATGCCTTCCGAATTTAATTTTTCTGCATATTTGTGTTCGTATATCGCTCTTGAATTTTCGGGAAGCACATGGAAAGACGGTTTTGTCATCAAAATTGGGTCGGATGAGTGCCTCCTAAAATTACTTCCTCAAGAATGCATTGTGTAATTGGTTCTTGACCGTATTGGTGAGTGATGTGAATTGGATGTTGATGGTAATTACTGCTGCACATTTTTTTTAAGACACTGTCAATTGGTGAGCAACACAATTAACACTCACAATACAGGGACACATCAAAACTGACCCCCTGCTCCTAATAGCTGAAGAATCTTTTAAACGAATATTTTAAGCAGACAATTGATGGAGGAGTGCTATGTAGTGCAAAGTATTGTGGTGTCCTTGTATTGTAATAGAAAAAAGGTTCTTATTCAGGAAATCAATCAAAATACACTATCAAACAAAATAGCAGTATCAAATCCAAAAACAAAAAGAGTTTAAAAAAATGTCTGCTCCACAGATTCAACAACAACCGAACGTGTCACAAACCAACTTGTTTGCTCGATTAGCATTATCAGGTGCTATTTCATGTTCTGTCACACATACAGCTGTCGTTCCTGTAGATGTTGTCAAAACTTTGGCACAGTTAGAACCAGATGTTTACAACAAGGGTACGATTGGAAATTTCAAATTGGTGATTGAAAAAAAGGGACCTACTGCCTTACTCACTGGAATTGGTCCAACTTTTACTGGATATTTCCTTCAGGGAGCTTTTAAATTTGGTGGATATGAATTCTTTGAAAAACAATTTAGAAATGTTTTGGGAAATGAAACTGCAAGAGAATACAGAAATGCAATCCATTTGGCATCTTCAGCAAGTGCTGAATTCTTTGCTGATATTGTGCTGTGTCCATTAGAGGCCACAAGAATTAGGCTTGTCAGTCAACCTGATTTTGCCACTGGACTAGTCAGTGGGTTTACACGATTACTGAAAGAAGAAGGTTTCAAAGGATTGTATTCTGGTTTCTTTCCAATTATTTTGAAACAAATTCCGTATACAATGACTAAATTTGCCGTCTATGAATTGGCTTTGGAAAATATCTTGTTGGCATTGGGAAAGAAAAGCAGTGATTTTTCAAAATCCGGACAAACTGTCTTGTTTTTGAGTAGTGGATTGATTGCTGGAGCCTGTTCTGCAATAATTTCACAACCAGCAGACACATTATTGAGTAAGATCAATAAGCAAAAGGGAGGTGAGGGATCTATCACTTCTAGATTGATTATGCTGACAAAGGAATTAGGTCCTCGTGGTCTATTTTATGGAATTGGTCCTCGTATTGTCATGGTTGGTTTATTGACAGCTGGTCAATTTGGAATTTATGGAACAATTAAGAATGCTCTTGTTGGACCATTATTAGATCATCATTAATACCTATTGTATTAATTCCTTAGGTTGTAGTCCTAAATATTGGGGTGATTGAGTAGTAATGATTATTGGTGAATTTCACAACGTCATATATTTGTACATCAACATATTTATTTCCATACTAATAATACAATTTCAAATAATTATTTACTTTTAACAATTCCAAACTTATCCTTCAATTCATCACTAGTCATTGGTTTAAGATTTTTCAATTCCTCCACGGTATTCACACAGTAAAATATGCACTTTCCCAACAATCTCTCATCTCTTAAAATAAATCCCAAATCCCAATCAGTAAAGCCTGGATATATGTCAGCCAGTCCAGTACAATTTTCCATCAATTTCTTTTCTTCCTCGCTCCATTTGCTATTAAATATCAAATGTGGTACGTGTCTGTATTGTTTTTCATCATCATTTCCATTCAAAATCTTGATAAAATCATAATTCAAATATTCCACACAATCATCCACCTTCATCATTCTATTATATCTCTCAGTAACTACTTTAATTCTTTCCTTAGTATAGCCTGCCAAGTTGAAATGAATACCATCCTCCACAGCTGCTGTCAGTATTGATCTAGCAATTGCATCTGTCCACCAGGAAACAAACTTTCTATAGAGTCCATTATTCACATGTGAAAAGTCATGCATGGCATCAAATAAAACATTACAATTTTCAAAACGAGGAGCATTGGGACAGGGAATTACAATTCCATGATCTCTAGCGGCAACAAATAGATCATGATAACAAACACAAGAAAGTGATTTACAAAAAGGAATGAGTAAATCATCTTCAAGTCCTGTAAATGCTTTTTGTTCGGAAGGATGCTCTTTGGAGAAACCAACTCTGAATGGAAGACCATTTGGTCTGGTGAGTCTGCCGTCATTATTTAAAGATAATGATGATGACGACTCTGTTGTGGATTGCTGTGTTTCTGATTCAATCATTTTTTTAAAATGTTTGTTTCATCAAATTCCAATTTGAAACAATCGAAAAAAATAAAACCGCTTTCGTGTTGAACGACGATTTGCCCTAAAGACGCAAGAAGGGTAAAAATTGTTCTTACCTGTCAAAATTATTTAATCATTCCATTTTGGTTTCATTCAGTATAAAGTTCTTGGGTAGAAGCAATCTCTATCTTTTGAGGTATTACTTGACGCTGCACAAAACTGTTCAGTCATCATCCTCATTGCGCTCATTAAGGGTTTAACTTTGAGGTGTTGAAAAAATTCTTCAGAAACTGGAGCTCATTCTTCTCCAAATAATCACACCATTCCTGATTAGAGTCACATATTTCATACACGATATTTCCTTCCTTTGTAATAACGGCCCATTTTGACACTTCTATTAATTTCAATCTATCTTCTTCAGTGACATAATTTTCCGGTTCGTACTCCTGAATTATTCTGTCTCTTAAAGATGTTGTTTCCAGAGCATTTGGTTTCGCAATAATCCGCAATATTTTTCCTTGTTGCACAATTTCCTTAATTGCTGGAGCAATAAATTGTTTTTCCTTTTCAACAAAACTAACTGAATGAACGGAATTTGCTTGAATATTCTTCTTTTCTGAATAAATCATGGAGATATCTGTTCTCAAATAATCTTTCATCAATTTTGGAATGGAAGTTTGGGCCGTGACTGACATGGAAAGAGGTATGATATTGGGACATGCGTTGTTTGATCTTCGAACCAGCATGCCTAAAACATCAGGTCCAGCAAATTCAGGAGGGCGAATAATAAACTTGCTCAACAAACTATCTTCTTCTGAAAATGGATATGGATTATTGTCGTCATTAAATCCATTCATATTCCTGTAAATTGTGTGAACAAGGAGAGAAGATAAGGACATACCCAAATTGTTACTCAGTTCCGATATCTGTAAATCTTCCATAAAATATTCAGCCTTCAAAGAGAACTCCGTTAAATATGTTCCACTTAAGGAACTACTTTCAACAAACGAATTGAAATGGTATAGTAGAAAATAAATCATGGCAATCTGAGACATTTGAGAATAGTCCTTTTTTGTTTGGCAAATGTCCATGCATTCAAAAGTTCCAAATACCTTTTTAAAATGTATGGTAGTGAGGAGTTTCGCCTTCTCTATAGGACTAACAATTTTGAAATGATGATTCTTACAATACTCAAATGTATATGTGACACCATTTTTCATGAGATAACGAGAAAAGAGTGTCTTTTGGTCAGATAATGAAAAAGTAGCTTCTCCTAATAATGCCAACCGTAAAAATAGAGCTTCGGTATTCTTGAGCTTTCTTTTGCTTTTTAGCCTTCTGTCATTGCTTAAACTATTCTTTTTCATGTTAATAAATTGACCTTGCATGAACCTATTGAGAGACCGGTAAACAGCGTTAGTTAACGACGTTTCCTTATTGGTTGTTCTAGATTCGGTTTCACAAAACAATCTCCAGAGAAAATCTTCAGCATTTCTAAATGTCCCTTGAAGAAATATGGAAACAAGATTCCAAATACTATGAGGAGAATCATCATTGTTTGTTCGAATGAACATACTTAAAAAGGGAACTACTTGCAAAGCATGCATTGGTGGTAGGGTTGTGGAAAGTTCATATGAGAATATTTCCTTTGACAGCTTATTTGGAGCTTGTGCGTTGGACGACTCTATATACTGCTCAATGCACTTGACAAAGGTGGAAGTTAAAATGACAGGAGCAAATGTTCTAGCACCGGACGTGATTAAGGTTAAAGCATTCCCAAGATAAGATTTGGAGTTTGTGCTAGAAACCATTCCTGGCAGATGTGCTGTCAAGATTTGTGCCTCGTCCAAAATGAAAGCATGGTCCATGTTCCCCCATGATGGAATTTCCACGTTTACCAGTTCTTCTCCATTTGATTCAAGTGCAGTCTTTAACAACTCTCTCAAAGTTGTTGCTCCTCCGTTCCAGAAAAATTTCAATAGATAGATCAATATCATGTTAGGAGATAGAGTGGATTGGTTGACTGTTTTGAGGAACAGAACTTTGGCAATATTGAGATAGGTGAGTAAAAATTGTTTAAACATCTTGTCCATCACATCTCGAGGAGCGCTGCGAGCTCTAGATATTTTAACGAACAGATATTTGCAAAGTACTGATGTAATTGGAAGAACCATTTTCTTGAGACCTGTAAGGTGGTAGCATAGGTGAGTTTTTCCTTTTTGAAAATGATCCAACTTGAGTTTTTCAAAAAATGACCAACATACCTGCTCCAGGAGCTTCAATTAAAACAACTACATTATATGGATCTTGACTTCTAAATAATGCCTTGACAATACCATCATACTTGTCACTGGGAAAAGTAGCAGCCAGATCACAAGAAATGTACTGTGAGGATTTTGGTTCTTCCAAACAGCTACCGTCAATGTTCAACAACAAAATGGGAGAAGATAAATTCTCACAGTCAATACTTCGCATTCTTTCATTGAATAAATCGAGGCTTAGTTTCCTGTTCGATTCTAATGACTGGCAGAAACTTTCAAATTCTTTCATCATAATTCCAACAACTTCAATGAATTTTGCACTGTGATTAAAGTTAAATGGATGTTTTGGAATTTTCACACTACCAATAGGGTTCATCAACTTTCTCTTTACCCATTTCACAATAAGAGCGCACTCTTCTCGGGGTATCATCAAACCAAACTTCTGCTGGAGCCTGTCTGTGCTTTCTTCAACAGAAAAGTGAGAGAGATCTTTTACCAGTGCAACAAGAGAGATACCTGAAAAATTGATGCTATTCAAAACAATGCCAGATTGGTACCTCAATCCAACACCTTCCGATTTTCGATCCAAAATCATTAACGAAGTCGCTTGAAGAGTGGTCCAAGAAGAATAATTTCTCATTGAAATACTCTCACGCTCGTCATAGGCATCGGAATATGTATTACTCGCGTCTTGCTCATCATGGATTTGTTTACTCATGTCATTATTTGCAGCTGCTTCCGAGGCTTGAAAATCCTTACATTCTTTCTCAATAGTTCCGATAGAGTGCATGTTCACTTCGTTCTTTTTCCTCAACATATTATGCAGGATTGCAATTGTTAGGAGTGTTAATAATAACAGAGAAACGCATTCTGTTGTTGTGAGTCTTGAAATAAAATCCATTTTTTTACCAAATTTGTGTACTTGAAGGTTGTTTTGCTATCGTAAAATAACATGAATGAATTAAGGGGTTTGTAAGGTGTGTTATATGAGTTCGTGTGAGGTGTTATCGGTGCTGGTGTCATGATACGATCATTACAAATATAATCTGAAAAAACCTATGTCGTGGAAAAAAGAAAAATTGTGACCTCAAAAACGGCTTACTCTCCGCTGTAATCGAGGAGGAATCCAAACACCAGCCTTACAATTGATGTGGGTGGCATCTTTTTGCAAGTTACATCCAATGAAACAATCTATCTGGTGAGACTATTCCATCAACAATCTTGTCTGTCATAATTAATTCGTGATAACGCAGCAACGAAATAGGATCTGTCCAATCCAATTTGTACTCCATTTCTATTTTCTTTATGTGGAAATATATCATCGGACCATTGGTCCGAATAGCCTGTCCTCACTTCCAATAGAGTTTATGATCCGGATAAGTGATCGCAAAAACTATTCCTCTTCTCGAAAGAATTTGAAGGAATTCTTGATTGATCCCGTTCAAAGAACTTGACATGTTGTCCATGCCAATACACGATATTTTCATTGGGAATGTAATTGTACAAGTCCTGGAGACATTTTTTTAATAACAACCCTCGTTTAAACTCAACGGACAGGGTTGGGAACGCCACCGTGACATTTTAATTTTGTAAAGAAATAAAAAAATATTTTTATGAAACGGAATCACATGATCACGAATTCGGAACATTCGAATGTGCAACAACAACATCAACAAATACCCATTTCACCCTCGGGATGTCTTTTCGTGGCTCTTATTGGAGCTGTGGACACAGGAAAGACATCTCTTTTAAATTGCATATCCGAAAGCAAAAATAATTATTATAATAATTATTCTAGTTCTATTCCTTATTGGAGTCTTCTTTCTAATGCTGTTACGTCAAGTAATAGTCATGAATATTTACGTTCTGTAATTTTTTCTCATCATGATGACATTGATCCCCAGCAAAAAGAATGGCATTACATTCGTTTTCTGGACAAACAACATCGTAAAGTTCGAAACGATTCCATTTATGCTCAGCTCATGAACACAACGATGGATGGAATGATTCTTGTGGTGGATTGTGTGGAAGGTTATCATTCAAATTTGGATTATGTACTGGGAGAACAGTTATTTTCAAAAACGAACGGAAGAAAGATGAAACCTTTATAAACAAAATTGATCGTTTGATAAGAGAGTTAGCATTACAACCAGAGGAGTGTTACAGACTCTTTTTGCGGATTATTGATCATGCTAATGCCAGCATGCTCACTAAATTTGCTGATCAACTCGAACCCGAGTGGGAATTTGATCCTTTACTTGAAAATGTTGCATTTGGAAGTACAATGTTTGATTTTGCCTTCACATTGAATGATTTTGCTTCTTTATTCGCTCCAAAATTTCACGTTCCAAAACACAAAGTTATTTCAAAACTTTGGGGTGATAAATTTTTCGATGCAGAGACACAAAGGTGGACACAAACACCCCTCTCACAATCTGGAAAAGCTTGTAAACATGGATTTACTCATTTTGTCATGACACCAATTTTTACATTATTTAGACTTATACAAGATCGTCACATTTATCCTTCCGATAGACTTGAGAAGGCTTTACAACGAATCGACATTCAATTAAGCCAAGAAGAGGCCTTGTTGGAAAGCAAATCCCTGACAACACTAGTAATGAGAAAATTTTTACCAATTTCAAGAGCACTGATGAATATGATCACAACACATGTGACATTCAAACCAAAGAATTCAAGAAAGTTTATGTTTCATAACTTACGAAATGAAACGACCAAATTGCAACAATTATCAGACATTAACATTGTGACATTACGCAATAGTGAGCGATGAACTGTGTCTTTTCAAATGGAGGACGAAGCCTGGGTAGGACTTGTATTTTTTTTGCGACAAATCTCTCGCGCTTTCTTTAGTCAGAAAGTTTTGAATTGGGACAACAGACCACCTAAAACATCATTCTTGTGTTTAGACATAACAATTACTCCGCTGTTCTCCAATATTACGGCAGAACAATATACGATTCATTCACGCATCATTGTAAAGATTGTATTTTAAATGTGGTCCAATCCCACAACTTCACCACAAGGTGCAATTTCAAATAACAATTAAATTGCAATATTCAAAAAAACCATTTTCCGAAAATCGTTTGAACGAAACAGGCTTAAAAAACAATAATAACACAACATTGACCCATACTTCATCATTATGCTAATCTCATCAACATGCTCTCCCCGAACACGATCAGAAAAACAAGAAACGAAAGTGACGTTTATCAGATAGTCTCAGAGAATGGCCGTTCCTTACACCACGTCACTGGAACACTCAAAGACAACAAGAACATTGCATTAGCAGCCATGGAAAACGATCTCTATGCTTTCCTATACATTTCCAATCGCCTCAAACAAGATCCCGAAATTATTACCTACGTTCTTGAACGAATATTTCAACTCCTGACAAGTGGTAGTTCGGAACAAACGGATTTCGTTCAAAAGAAATTGCTTCCCAGCTTGGATCGCTCATGTAAAACCTTGTTGCAGCAGTTGATGAAACGAGACGGTTTGCTGTTTCAGCATTTGAGAGGCAAATTTCTGGCATGCACTTCTTTGGCCATTCTGGCAGTGAAACAAAACCCAAGAGCTATCCACTTTGTGAGTAAGCCAATTTTCGATTATAAAACTCTTGCCAAGCTTGCTATTGAGGGGGATTACTATGTCGCCTTGGAACTTGTGGACAAACGAGCTTGGGAGAATGAAAAGATTGTTTCCAAAGCATTCATGCTGAAAAACAAACTGAGAAGATGTGAAAAGTTCCTTGACATTTGCATTATTTCATTTGAGGAAGTAGAAGGGTGGTGAGAACTTGTCTTCACCAAATAAACCATGTGCTATTCAGAAAAAGTATCAAGATTGTCAGGTGGAGTTTTGATATTTCATTGGTGGACAGAACCAATTATAGATACTGTGGATAGAAAGTAATCAGTGCTTGTAAGGACTTGTTTGATGAGAATAAGAGTACTGTCTTAATGATATGGTTTAATCCAGTCAATAACTGATGTTCTTACAAATGGAGTGTTCCAAAAGAAAAAATATCATGTAATGAAGTGACAAATCCACGCAAATAAATAGTTGTTGTTCATTTGGCCACGAAGAGTTTTTCATTATTGTTGCTCTTCTTGTTGTTGTTGGTTATCTAAACTTGCAAATGGATCGGCAGAGTCATCATCAGTTGCAGAAGGAGCTCCGGTAACAGTCTCAGCATTTTCTTGATGGTTGGTTTCAATGGTCGCACTGTCCATAGTCGATTCAGTATCTCCAATTGTAATTTCTTCAGGGAAAATAGAACTTGGAGATGGATTATTGGTCACACTTTCTGTAGGAGCCATTGATGAGTATGTTTGAGATGAACTAGTATTGTGTAAAATATTTGTTAAATCCTTATTTCGTTTCAATAACCCTTGATTTTCATTTTCCAATTCTTCATTTTCTTTTCTGAGACTTTCCAATTGTTGTTCTAAAATGTTACTCTCATCACTTTGGGGTTCATTGTCGAGGTCTTGAGCTCGTTTCTTGAACTCTTCAATCTCCATTTTTAATTTAGTAATTTCTTGCAAGTGTTCTTTTTCTAGCTTTTCATATTCGGATTTCATGGATTCTTTACTTTGTTGTATCGAGCTGAGTACTTCATCATGTTTAATATCCATCTCTTTCATTTGATGTTGTCGTTGTTGAATGAGCATTTCCTGTTGTTCCACTCGTTTTGTACGAAAAACATATTCAATAGGATCCACGGATTGTTGTTGAAAGGCTTCATTTAGCTTGGTTTTCAAAATTTGTGCAATTTTATGTTGATTCATATAGTCAATAATTTGCTGTTTGTTTTTAATGATCGGAGGTTGACTGTGAGTGGTTGCATGGCTACCTGTATCCATGGAAGATCGATGATGATAATAATAAAAATGTTGTTGTTGATCTTCATCCATATCGGATGACACTGATGAAATTCTTTCGGCATGGTGGTCATCAAAATCGTTCGACTGACTTCTCAAATGTGGTGGAATGTATAGAGTAGAGCTATCTGTTTTACTCGTTGTTGGTGTTGTGTTTCCAACAGAGCCACCACGAGAGGTTGTTGGAGAAGCAGTCGCAGCGGAAGAAGCACCAGGAGAGAGCATGTTGATGAATTTTTTTTTTTAATATTTATAAATTTAATTTTCATTACCCTCTCTTTGTTTGACAATGTGCCAAATGATGATGATCTCAATTTGTGGCCACACAATTCCTTCCCACACCACACAACCCGTAACACTTTCCAATCTGAACCATGGGCCATGTATACAGAGCCCGAATTTACAAACTCCCTTTGAGAATCTTGTGTGAGATACACCCTAAAAAAACGCAACAAAATGAGCTCGACCCATCCATCGTTTGGTCATCTTCCCTCGTCATCTCCAACAACAACGGGAAGTGGTGGATCATCATCATCGGGACATCAAAAAACAGGTGTTGCGAGCGGTGTAGGATTGGCAGGTTTAATGACCAATGGATTGAATGCATTCAATGTCGTTGCAAGTAGCAACAATGTTGGAGTGGGACCAATGATCTCATCATCGGCATCCTCTTCATCTCTCAATCATCCTTCAGCAACTCCCTCTTCCCAACATCATCTGCGCAATAATAACAATTCTTTAAGTGGCGGTTTGAATTTAATTTCTTCTTCCTCGCAATTGTCAGTTGATCATCATCATCAATCCATGCGTAATAATAATAATAGTGGAACTAATCATTTGGTTGGAGCACTTGCAAATAATAATCTTCTCTCGTTCAATAATGTTCATGGACAGATACCGCCTCCTTCCACTTCATCGGCAGCAAATCTCACGACAACAACAACGGGATCTTTAGCCGGAAAACTCAACACGATCATTTCATCAAAAGGAAGTATCAGTCATTTAGAATTGCCAATCAATGAATTTTCGTCGTCTGCTCCTGGTCATTCTGATCTCTTTGACAATCCTTTAACAAATCATTTGCCACTACCTGCCAAGATGAATAACAGTCAAAATAATGATGAAGATGCTGGTTTCGATCCTCAACCTGCCGACAACAATGGCAAGAACAATAGCAAATCCTCTCTCCAAAAAGAAATTACCAATGTCACTAAGAGACCAAGACGAGTGGCCAAGTTGGCTTGTGTGAGTTGTAGAAAAGCGTAAGTTTTCATTTGAAATTATACCTGTGAGTAACAACAAGTTGCATCTCGTGTCACCATCATTTACCCAATCCAACGCTGTATTTCGCAACATTACTGTTTTAATCGATATGTCATACGTATCATTATAACGTTTACCTCATCTCTGTAATTAAATACCATGCACATGGTCAACACACAACAGTCACGCTTGTTGCGAGGATAAGCGACCGTGTTCTCGATGCATCTCTCACGGCTTGGAGTGTCAAGATCAAGTGGGAAAAAAAAGGGGCAGAAAAAAGAAGGCTGGCTCCGATAATGAGGAACAGAACAAAGATGATCACGACAATACTGAAAATTCTAACACTTTCTCGCATCAAACAGGTAGTGCATCTGCCTCTGCATCAGAAGAAAAAAAGAAAAAAAAGCGAGGAAAATCTTCTAAAAAGACAAAAGGAGAGATCAAAACGGAGGAGATCAAAAACGAGCAACACTCGTCATCCTCATCTTCACAAAATCAAAAACAAACTAGTAATCAATTCGGACAGCCTAATAATAATAATAGCATGACTCTTCAAGTTACTGATTCTGAATTGAAAACACCTGGAGCTATGCTGACATGCAATACTGGAAATTCAGTAATTTTCCCTAATGGTGACAATCATGCCTTATCTGTTCCTTTACTCTTGAATCAACCTCCTGAAATTCAACAATTAACTCAAATTTTGATGAGAACCCCTGTAGATACTTTCTTTCTTCACTGCAATAATTTAAATACTGCATACGACTACCAGAATAATCAAAGTTTATTTGGAACCCCCTACTCACTTCACCTTGACGATAATTCTCTAGCCAATTACAACAACAACAACAGCACCATTCACATCAATTCTAAATCAAATTTAACTCCCAATCAGCTAGTTTCACCAGGAGGTGCATCATCTCCTTTTATTGATTTTACAAGTGATGATTTTTTACGATTTTCTCCTCAAAGTCCATTATTTGCTTCTTTGGTAGAAATGAATGACATGGAAGTGAATGATGAAGTTCAGCAAGCCACTTCATCAGACACGTCAACACTACTGAATGATATTAACAAAGATCCAAATTTTGCTTCTAACGCTTCATCATCTTCAGAAAATCAATATTCAAAATCCAACATTTCCATAAGCGAACAAAATCATAATGGAGGATCTTTGATTGCTGAAAGTAGTAGTAGTGAGGACGACGTTCAAATTGAAGATTATCCTACCGAACACACTACACAGACGTCACCATCACAACAATCACCAAAAGAGGACGATATGTTTGAGAGATTGAAAAAGATGAGCAATGAAGAATTGATTAAATGTTTGCAAATTGGAGAGGATACAAAGAAGATGATTGAAGATTCAATTAGTCATTTGAAGGCATTTGACTCCAATCCAGAGGCAGCAAATATGACATATATTGAATATTTGACTCAGAACTTCCCGATTTCATGTAAGTTTTATTTTGCCATAGTTTACATCGACATCGGTTTATGTCAAATCTACCTCTACCAACAACAACAGTACTATTGAAGCACAAATTGAGCGAATCAGCGAAAAGACTGATGGCAGGATGTGAACCAACAAATGCTTCCAGTGAAAAAGAAATTGAAATTTTGAGGGAAGAAAATAAGAGGCTCAAAGAAGAAAATTTAAGGAAAGCAAACGAGTCAGCAATGCTGTCAGCTATTAATGAAAATTTGAGAAATAGATTCTCCGAATTGGCATCAAAAGGAATCATAAAGATGCAATATGACGAACCTCCAACTTATGGAGCAAACAACAAACCAACAGCAATACAAAATTCATATCAAGAATTAGTTATGCTGATGGAAAATAAGCAAGAAATGGATTCTTCAGATTTTGGAATAATGATCATGTTTCCAGGTGGTCGTTTAGTGAGTTTGAACAAAACACTACTCACTAAACTTAATTATGATCCGGCTGATTTGTACGATAATTTGGAACGATGGGAAGATGTGGTGCATCCAGAGTCGTATCCACAAATTATTGCTCATGTGTCACGCGTACTCAAGACGCCACCTGCACCAAGAAAATCATTCAAGTGTAAAGTTTTATGTAGAAAGAAGGGCGGAGGAACGGTATCTGCTGAACTTTATTTGTGTATCGTGGGAGGAAAATTCTCATACATACCAGTATTTGCGAGTAAGTAGTATTCGTGAGTTTGACTTTTTCGCAAGGGAGCTTAACAATTATATTTTTGCAAATTCTACAGTTGGATATTTCTTATTTGACGACTCAAAACCAAACCAATAAATTGGCCACATGTTGAACAAGTACTTCTATGAATGCAATGAACAGTTATTATTCTGTCAATGTCACCTTAATACCTAGTCTCTCTGCAACGAGATGTTGATTATCTGTAGATAATAGGTTGGTGATGAATGGTTTTTGTAAAATAACAACCAAAATTGCCCTCATTAATTCATTCAATTCTTGAGCTTTCTTGGAGAATTTGTATCTGTCGCTTGTTGGGGAAGTCGAGAGAGACTTGTTGATGAAGTGATTGTAATCGCAAAGACAGGCACATTCCACAAGTTGTACAAAAACAACATTAAGCTTGTCTAAATGTCGAAATCGATTCTCTTCGATTGGTATCTTGAGATTGCTCGGTGAATATTCTTCATCCTCTGTTTCCTGAGCGTTCATGGCTGCAGTTCTTTCCAGCGAGCTGGCGTTGTACAAGTAAAAGAAAAAATTGGTCCAGTGCAGGATCACTTTCTCTACAAATGAATACAATTCTTCTGTGGTCTGCTGCGAGAGGGACTCTTTTAGGAGAAGCCTTGAGGAGTTGAGAAGCGATTCAAAAAGAAGACCTTCTGAAATATCGGAAAGGAATTTCTTCATGCTCATCTTGCTACAGTGACCAGGTTCTGCATTTACCTTAAAGAATTGTAAGGCATCCAACGTGTTGCTCGTTTTCGTAGAGTGTTTGATCAATATTTTCACGGCCATGGAATTCGTTCTACATTCTTCCTTGATGCAATCTTTCATGTCATTATTTTCAAAATGTGCATTGAGTGTTCTCAACATTCGCATTAGCAATGGTATATAGCAATCAGAGAGGTAAAAGTAATTGGTCACTTCCTTATTTTGCACGCTAGGATATATCAAATCAAAAAGCGTCACTAATTGTGATCCAATATGTAAGAGCAGTTTACGGTCACGATTTGACTGTAACTTAAAGTTCGTGGAATCATAGAGGTCAATAAATGCATATAGCATGTGCCACACCAATTCCATCATTTTCTCCCCATTTTCCCTGGTCAACAGAAGAGAAAACCCCCTAATACTGCCAGCTGATGAAGATGGTTCAATATTCTTTTTTTTGGTGCCTTCTTTTCCCATGATAGAATAGATATTTCCATATTTTAGAATGTCAATACAGTACCTAAGACAGCGAGACCGTTTCGATAAGTTCTGCGGAAATTCATTCACTGCCATGTCCAATATTCGTAATATCAACTGAGAGGCCATTGAAGCCTTTGTTGGTGGCGGATTGATCAATCGTTCTCGATCCTGGTTAGTGATTTGATCTGTTAAAAACTCGACTTGTGTTACATGTTTAACATAAGAACCCTCTTCTTGAATCAGTAAATTTTGATTCTTAGATAATACTTTTTGAGCGAGCTCCTTCAGAGGTTTACATTTACTCTCTGATGTTGTAATGTATTTGGTAAAAAACGCTTTGATCATCCAAATCTTGACATTGGTTGAAAATAAAAACATCCACTCGCTTAATTGTTTCAACAACTCATATTGACAAACAAACACCAATGACGCAAAATATGAATTTAAAAACTCAATAAATTGCTTCTTTTTTTCAGTCTTGAGTTTTATCAAGTCATTGGTGTTGCCCACATGTTTTTTTGAATTAATCATATCTTCTTCATCCGTGTCCACATCATCTGAAGATAATAAAGGAAGAATTACTCTCGAAAACAACTCGCTCACATTCTCCGAGAATACCGTATTCAATTGTAATTGCTTGAATAACACTTCATTAATAAATGTGAGGCTAAATTTACGTGATGGAGTAGGATCCACACTTATACGGCACACTGGCAAACATGTATATTCAACAAGTAATTGCTGGACATGATCGGGAAGTTCTAACTTGACATTGTCATCCCCAAATTTTTGCTTTAATTCTTCAATGGTTTGTAATTCCGAAACATCTTCATCGTCTTGATCCGAGGATGCAATGGCTACATGTTTCCGAATTTCCATCCGAAAATATGAACATAAATTTTGAATTTGGCTTGTTATTCCTTCCAACAATAATTCGTCCAATTCTTTAAATAATTTTCTCCATTCCGTGATGGATTCATTTTGCTTTGATTTGCTGGATTTTGATTTGGCAGAGAATGTTTTCGGAAATGCAATTCGGGCTTGTTGTTGATTTGTTGACATTTTTTTAACTGGATTTTAAACACCTTTCTGAAACACTTATAAAATCTCAAACATTAGATATTCGTGTTTGTAAAAAACGTAATTTACAATTTTCAAACAACCAAACACTTTAGTTTTATTTTGGAGCGTTGAGCCTCTCAAGCATTTACAAGCACCTTAAAAAAAATCAAACAATGTTTCCTCAAGAGTGTTCAAACTTGTACCAACACCAGGAGGTAATCACTGTAAATCCATTAGATCCTACTGGACTGTTCTATACACTTTTGCAGCGTTCATCAAGACAAGTTATTAGAGCATGTTCCGTTCAGGATCTTGAGTTTATCTGCAAGGCTTTTCATGTTTCCTTCTTAACAGAAGATGTTGAGGCTTGCATTGAAACTCTCTTTGAGAAGGGTATTTGTAAGGAAGCTGAAGAAGATACTGCGTGCACTACTGAGGAACTCATGAGAGTGATCGCATACCAGCGAGATATGTGTGAGCTGAGTGATTTTTCAAAATCTTTCAACGACTGTTCTGTATTCCGGCCTCATAGGGAGTCTGAAGTTGACGAGGACGTTGTTGTGGTCGGATATGGTCTATTAGATGAGTTGATATCCAATGCTAGGGGACAGCTAGGTCTAACTGCTTCCAAGGCTCGAACAAAATTTTCCCTGTTCAAGAATACCACCCCGTCCTTTGCTGAAAAGCTTGCGAACAGAATAAAAATGATGCAGGCGACGTTGGCCAGATTGCAGACCATGGAAAATGAAATGGTCAAGATGAAACATGAGCATTCCGAGACCAAGAACCGACTGGAAGCAACAGAAACAAGGGTGCAAACGCTCACCAAAGCAAACGGTTTGCTATCTTCAAGACTTAGCGAAACAGAAACCAGACTAGCCGAAACAAAGCAAACGCTCACCAAAGCAAATGATTTGCTCGCTTCAAGACTTCGCGAAACAGAAAGCAGACTCAATGAAACAGAAAGCAGACTCCACAACACAGAATCAAAACTACAACAAGGTATTACCCAATCGGAGTTGCTAGTCAATATTTTAAGAGGATATCCTAATCAAAATTAGAAATTATTACAAACTCCCACAATTTCAAGAAAACAGCCCGTTAATTGTTCTCACGACCATTTTTCAAAATTTGTTTGATAGTTGAACTGTTCTTCAATTAAGCTTGCTGAAATCAAGATTTTCATAAGGATGATGCTCCATCAACCTTTCAGATTCTTTTGAGACCTGATATACAATAAATACCAGCCGTTTAAAAAAGATGTCTAGAGTTGAATTAAAACATCAAGCCGATCTATTTGTTGAGCACTTTTGAGGGGCTTGGTGTTATTTTCAAACAGTTTCACAACAATTTCAATGTAAGGGTTGTGGTTTGAGAGATGGTGTTGATAATGTGACGAAGAGGGGAAAGGGATCTTCAATTCTAGCCAAAGTTTTACGACGTTACCACCATGCTCTTGTAACGCCAATTCATCATATTGACGCACCAATAATTATGTGGTGTTTCCTACGTGTCAGCACTGGCAAGTTTTCATGAATCCTATGATCGTAGTTTTATTAAAAATCCCAGCGAAATTCTCTCTTGCTTATTGTGTTCCGAAAAACGGTGATTATTCAGACAATGAATCCATGTGAGGTTAAAATTACTCACAAAGCAATGCTTCCATTTTCTGCCAATGTATCAAAGTAGCCACATGAATCTTCAGGCCTTGTGTTAGCGAGGGCCTCTGATTTTTGAATCATTCTCATGGTATCTTGATAAAAGTTTTTAGTTCGTTTCTTAATAATTTTCTCAATGAGCCATGACGGAACTGAACCTTTCAAATCGGTTCCAACAAATTGTATATATTTACAATGTTCAACATTCTCACGTATGACTGGAGCAAACATCCAACAACCAATGTTGAGCGCCCTAATATAATTCGTCTCTTTAGGATTGTAATTGGGAGGTTCGCATGATTTCTTGGCAATAATGTACATGTTAGAAGTAGAGTCATGCAACATGGATTGAGCTAGTATATAATATCTGTTTTTGAAAGGCCAAGCCAACTTGTAAACTTCGTGACTTAAAACTGTTGCTAATTTTGTTTTTCCAGATATGGTCGATGAGGGATTGCTTTGCGTTGCTGATGATGACGAGGAGGATGAGGTCGAATAGTAGTCATTGTCATCATCTTCGTCGTCGTCGTCATCATCACTATCATTTTCACCGTTATCTTCGCTGTCGTCGTAATTAGAGTGGGAAGCACTGTCGCAATTGTCCTCTCTACTTTCATCCAAGTTTGCAAGTGAGCCAGAATGAGTATAATTGATCACTCCTGACTTGTTTCTGTAGCCAATTCTTTTAATGGAGTGTAAATTCTTGTCATTGCCAAGTCGTACTTTTACGTTGGTCATGATATTCATGACTGCTTCACAACTGTACGGGAAAATAACTTCGCATTTGGCAAAAAAGACTCCTTCATTATTCGTTTCTTCCTCTCGTCCCAAAATGTACCGATTCGAAGACATGTATCCATAGCAGTCATCTTTTTGAAACACTAAATCCCAATTCTTTTCATCCAAAACATGTTTCTTAATCATCCGCACTTGATCGATCGTCATTTCACACTTCTTCATCTCCATGAGCGATTCCACAAAACAACTATGCGACAAATTCTTAGCAGTTCCAATCGTATTCAAAAATGTTTTGCTTTTCGTGGAAATAAATTCTTGAAACATGGGCGACTCGATGAATTGAGGCATGACATGTTCCTTAATATTGACAAGAATGTAACTTTCAGCCTTTTTCAATGCACTTTCACATTCTCCCAAATCTAAATAATCTAACGAGGATAGAGAAACCTCTTCCGACTGCTGATTTGTATTATTCGTATTTCCTGCTCCTCCTCCTCCGCTACTATTACTCAAACTCATCATGGGCTCTTCTTCTTTCATACGCTTACGATGAGCAATCTCCTCCAGCATGTCCATATACGAGAAGATCATCATCTCCCTCTCACGTTGTGGTAAATTCAATTCATGTGGTGCATTTTCTTTAAAGAATTGATCATGTATCTCTCGCAAACAGGTGTAACGATTGACCGTTGACCGTTTTCGGTAATATTCGTTACAATACTCGAGAAATAGAAGGCTTTCTTCGTTACGCTGAGAACGCATGAACAACAATAGGCAGAGTCGGGTTTCTTCATCGTCGAGAATGGCCTCAAAGGAAAAGGTATAATCATGAAGATGTTTGTGGGAGGAGGAGGAATGAGATTTCTTCTTGTGTTTTTTGGTGTTTTTGCTACCACTCGGAAGGTCTTTCTTGTGGTGTTGATTCTTTTTTGGTTGTTGAGATGTGGAAGTAGGAGAGTTGTTATTATTCGGATTGTTGTTGTTGTTATTGGAAGAAGAAGAGGTTGAAAGTCTTTGGAATGGTTTGGTCGGTGGAGGAGTTGCTGTGGATGATGATGATGAAGGAAATGATGCACTACTGCTACTCTGAGTAGAGGTCATGGAATGATAGTTGTTGCCATGAGTTGGTAGAGTCGGCTGAGATGAAACCAATATTGAAATAGCATTGTTCTTGGTGGACGGCGATGAAGATGTGAACGTTCTGACCATGATGATGACGATGACTATGATGATTGTGTCGATGATTGTCAGAAACGATCGGATGGTATTGTTTTTAATTTGGGAAGGCAATGTCAGTAATGAAAATGATAGTTGAATGATTGAATATCCGATATTGTTTGAAATGTGAATGAAAGGAATGCGAGACTGGAGCGAGGTTTGTTGTTGAGATATGAAAGTTGAATTTGTTAAAGTTGGCAATGGTCTAATTGTAATAATATTTTCACACCACACACCACACGAAAGGATGAGATGGAACAGTGAGAATGTTGTTGTTGCAATTTTTTGTGAGACATGTTGCGAACAAAGGCATCAAAATTAATTGTCATTTGTCATTTTAATGACATTATTGGAGCAATTGCCCTTGTTAGGAAAATTGAAGAGCTATCCATTTGAAAATTCAACTTGTCATTGGAGCACGCTTTTGCTTTTACTTAACAACTCACCATTTTATGATTGAAAAGGAACAGCTGTGTTCCCCGCCTTTTCAAAATTACAATTTTTAAAAAATTTGAAAAGAAACCACCTCAATGTCGACCTCAGCAGAGCCCTCTATTGACTTGGTGGCTGTTTTGGACCGGACCTCACGGCTCGGGTTGATGCGAGGAAATAGTTCCAACAGCAAAACAAGATCTAGCAGTACCAATCAAACGAAAAAACATGAGGATACTTTTGAAGAACCTGAAGAAGAATTTTCAATTCCAAATGCCAACAAGAACAAAATATTGAAAAAATATTCAGCAGCAGGAAAGGTGCCGTCTGTGTTGGCCACACTGTCATCACGACCGTCATCATCATCTTCACAAGTCACTAGAAATGAATCCACAAAACTAGATGCCAAAATATTGGATTCAATTTTTCAATATCAAGGAGAACGGGATGCATCAAGCAATGGAATCTATCATGGACAAGGCCAATTAATTTTGCCAATGTGTTCATCAACCATTCTTCACAATGGTAAATCATCATCAGTAGCATCATCAATCAAACTCAACAATAGTCAATTGTTCGGCCCCAAGCAATCGTCTCATCAAGACCTCAGTGCTAGTATTGGTTGTCTTACAAGTGTCACAAAGAAACCTGAAATGAACTCTCATCAACAAAACACTCTCACTCAGCATGATCATCATTTAATGGATGAAATGCCACTCATTGAAGAAGAATGTCATATTGCCATTAATTCTCCTCAAAATTTCTATTCCAATACAAATACAATGAATTATGAATTTACCTACGAAGGAAAGTTTGAAAATGGTTTCATGAACGACAATGAAGGAAAATTTGAGTTTAAATATGCCGATAGAAAGGGACCTACCTATGTTGGAAGTATTGAGAATAATTGTTTCAATGGTCCCTGTAAGATTACGTGGGATGATGGTAGCATCTATGAAGGAGAAGTCAAGAATGGTTTACGAGATGGTTATGGAACTTACACTTCGGGAGATTTACTTTCAAAATATGAAGGTTATTGGAAACAAGGTCAACGACATGGAAAAGGAATCATGTACTATTCTGCTGATGAAAAATACGAGGGTAATTTCACACATAACAAGCGCCATGGCTATGGAGTCATGCATTACAAGAGCGGAAACTATTATGAAGGTGAATGGAAAGAAAACAAGAGATGTGGATATGGAGTCATGCATTGGACTACTGATCCATTGGAAATTTATGAAGGTGAATGGCTTAATGATTTACCACAAGGAAATGGAAAGCACACTTATTTACAAGCTTCTGGAAAGAAGTGTAATTATTACGAAGGAACGTTTATTGAAGGTAAACGAGAGGGCCAAGGAACCTTTCACTACGCGGATGGTTCTTCCTATACTGGCGAGTGGTTCAATAATTTAAAACATGGAGAAGGTGTATTTTACTATTTAAATGGTTCCATGCAAAAAGGAGTGTGGAAAGAAGACAAATTGCATGTCCCTCACTCTTCAGAGTCTTCAGTGAGCAGTAACATTCAAGCAACGGTAGATCGAGTGGTGCCAAATCCCAACGCCACACAAAGTAGCTCTGGTGTTTTGACCACTCCTCTTATTGAATTGTACATTAATGATTTATTGTTGAAGGTGGACGGATCATTTGATGAACTGAATAAGATTTATTCACTTGTACAGAGAAACATTAGAAAATTCAAAAAGATTTTTGCGCACTATTGTAAATATGGTTTAGATCCATTGTGTGTCAAAAAGAACATGCAAATGACAAAAGATATCTCCATTAATCCACGAATAAGCATTCAGGGTATTCTCAATTTGAATGACACATCTGAGGAGATGACATCCAACGAAATGAAATTATTTCTCTCAAGAGATAATCGAATGACCATGGTACAGTTCTGGAAATTTGCACAAGATTTTGGCATTCTTTGTGAGAATATGAATTGTGCTCAAATTGATCGAATTTTCATTTTTGTGACCACTCAATCAAGTGCAGAGAGAAATCTCAAACTTTCAAAGACTGAAAATTCTATTTTGCCAGACACTAATTCGACCGTAGTAGATTATGCAGTGAAACCAACCGTGAGCAAGAAACAACCTTCAGTCCAAGCCACTCCTACCATGAGATTTAGAGAATTTGTCGAATCGACTATAAGAATTGGTGCCGAATTGTATCGAAACATTCAAAACGGTACAAGTACTGTCTGTGAGAGATTTAGATACATGCTAGATGAAAAGATTAATTGCCAGACTTCGATGGTACCAAGTGAACTAGCGTCAGCACGATCGACAAGCAATGAGAGTGTCACATCCAAAGCAACTTCCCAAATTCTGCCTAACTCTACGACGACCACTACTACTCCCATGACTAGTACTCTTGTAAATAATGTAAATTTGACGGCTTCCACAAAGACCACTATTACCACTACAAGTTCTAGCACCGTGGTCGATACGAAGAGTCTCCTTGTTCCCACCCAAATGATCAGCTCAGAAACCATTCTCTCGAATACTGTTCAAAAAGAATTGGAAAAGTACAAGGACTCATTGAAAGCAATTTTCTCATATTATGGAAGATATGAAGGCGGAGGTTATGTCACATATGCAGAGGAAGAGGAATGGCATGGGACAACACCTAAAAAGATTGAAACCATGACAGTGAAACAATTCCTAAGAATGCTCAAAGATTTACTTGTCATGGACCCTAAATTATTGAGCATGCATGACGTGATTAAATGTTTCGAAGATATGTATCCAGACATTGTGACTTTGGAACCTCATGAATCTCTTGAAGATTTGAGGAAACGACGAATAGACGCCATCATTACCAGAGAGATGATTATCGAGGATTACATGGAAGCTCTACGAAAGTGTCTCACCAAACGTCTACTCACCAAGCTCAATCAAGGTGAAATGGAAGAAGAAATATTTACAAAGGAAGCATGTCTCATTCTAGGTTCAATGACCAAGCGTTTCGAACGAAAGCCATAATGTAGTAGTTTCAATAAATAATAATTTAATCATTCGAGTGTAGATTTGGGAAACACACAAACGTGGAGGTTAGTAGAGCAGCCAATCCATCTGCTTTGTACATTTGTTGACACACTAAATCTTTCCAGCAATCTTTAATGCAATTAACAGAATTGCAATCCCCAACACGACCAAACAAATGATGGTAATAATTGTAATGATAAGGATCATTCTGAATTGCATGTTTCTCTTCAACTTTTTACCTCCTTTTTCGAAAAGACCTGCGTTTTCCTTGAGATCTTCTGTTTGTGTAATCAAATGATCGAATTGGTCACGATTGGCAAGAATTTTATCAAGATTTTCAATCATCTTGGAAATATTGATATCGATTTGTTGTTGCAGTTTGGTAATCTTGTCATTTTGTGGATCATTGTAATAGTTCTGGTATCGTTTATCAAATTCCATAATTTCATGTCACATAGTTGTGTTTAACAACATTCAACAATTCAATAATAATCATTACAAAATAAACACAAAATAAACACAAATTAAAAGCACAAGCTCGCTAATACGCACCACCATATCTTTAAGTACTTTCAAAATATCATTCTTATTAGCATTTGCCAATCTTGGAATTTTAGCCAATTCTAAATCCAAATCATCTAACATGTTATAAACAACTCTCAATTTTGTCGTCTTTGAAGCATAGCACAAATACATTTTTCCACTTTTGGACAAGACGTGAACCATATAATCACCATCATAAAACGATTGTTTTGAAAGTGATGAATCAGTAGAGCGGACCATCACCAATTTTTCAAAATTCGAACGAGCCGATTGTGTTTGTTGTTTGTTCGTTGCTTTGGGTGAACTGTGAAACACTAAACCCAAATGTGGAACATTTCTGTGAAAATTTTAATGACCATGGTTGAAGTCGGGATTTTCGTTTTTGAACATTATATATGATGAATATATGGATCATCATCAAATATATGGACAAAATTCAATGATGATGATGAAAAATGTTGTGTGAATCATGATTTTCAAAAAAAAAATTCAAAAAATTTGAATTCCATAAAAACGGTTACAAGTTGTTGCGGGCCGGTCACAACACTATCATAGGAAACACTTACATGGCTGCGTGTAAAATCAAAGGTTCGTCAATACTTCCGTAAGACATTTTTTTAAATTTGTTTTTTTTTCAAAAAAATCTAGGCGAAGCATTTCCAAATTAAATCTAATTCATATATTTTGTATTGTTAAACAAATCAGGAGTATTATCTTCCAAAAAGCCTTGATATAATGTATTTGTCTCATTGTGTTCTTCTTCTCCTCCATCATGGTCGACCAATCCTCTCTGTGCAAATTCGTAATAGGCATACGTCCATTCCATGAATTCATTTTCCAGCTCCAATTGGAAATTTTCCTTAACACACTCGGTCGGATTCGAACCCTTGTCCCTTAATGATCCTTCATTTTCAATGACTTGTCGCTCGACACGCACGGCCACCATTTCCTTACTCGAAACACTTGCTGTTTGCCTTAATATGGGAGGACCTACAACGGGACCTTGTTTCATTTCCATGCCACATCGAGTGTGTAAGTAATGAATGGTCTTGTCAATGGAATTTTCAAATTCTGGAACGTTTTGATAATTAATGAAGGCAGTGAAATGATTGACACTGTAACCATGAAGAAGAGTCCATGCTGCGTATTGGGAAAGTTCATTGACTTGTAAGAGTTGAGATTTGATAGGAGGAAGCCAATGACGAGAGAAAAATTGAACATACTTGTCAGTAATATCATGGTCTATATCATTCACATCGACGTTCTTGTTAGTGGCATTTGACAGTTCCATTGCTTCACTTCCATTCAAAAAATCTACATGTCTTTGAGAACGCTCGTCGTCTTGATCCAACACAGCATCCACAATGAAATTTCTCTCTCTCGACGGTAATTCATCCACTTCCAACTGAGAAAGGAATATCTTGGGTGCCATTTCATCCCATTGATTTTCCAAATGTATTGCATTCAAATACTTGTCAGGAAATTTATAATTCCCTTTTGGAATGTAACCAAATCGAGAAAAAATTCTCAACAAGGCGTCCACTCCAGATTGCAAGACACCTTTTGGAGATTCTTTTACTTCATGACAATGAAACGTGCGAAATGCAATGTGGTCATTCACCACTTGTCCACCTTTTGACAAGACCACTTGTTGATACAAATTAGCAGCTGGCACTCGTGTTAAATACTGATTCCATAAACGATCAAAGACTTGACGCATCAATACAAGACAACTATTTCGATCTGGATCTTCACTCAGTGTCGAGTGCGACCCATTCGTGGCAGGAGTAACAGCGGGTCTCACCATTTTGGGAATGGTTTTGGATGCCTTATTGAGAACAGGAAATGAATTCATGGCGAGGAAAGATAGTGAGAAGAACAATTGGCTTTTTTTTCAAGAGTTTCAAAAATTCAATATTATATTCTGTTTAATTCCTGAATGGAGAGATAATTTTTATTACTTTTATATGAAACAATGTTAAAATTCCTGGAAAATCTCCAAACATGTCTTTTTGAAAATAAGTTTTTCTTTAAATACAGAAATATGGAATTCGCCAATTTCAATTCAGGAAAAGCGTTAGATGTTTTATAATTGAACACTTGTCTATTTAAGGTAAACATGTGAATCTTTCAAAGATACTTCCAAAGAATTCGTTTTAAAAAATTCCAATGTTCTTGCAAAGATTCAACAAGAGATTCAACTAGTGTCTGAATTGTAAGCACATTTTGAAATTCCAACATGCCGATACCGGAACGGTATCTACAACATGGCCGTACGGATTCTACTAGGAACAACAACAGAAGACTATGGGAACAACACGAATCTCGAACGTTCCATGTTTTACCGTGGATCACTTTCCAGATGGTTATTTTGCTTTGGTGGAACCATCTTTCAAAAGGTCATGTTGGATGAACATGATCTAAATCATTTACCCTCCAGTAAAAAACTTGATCAAATATTATCTGGGGTCGCAATGACTGATCTGGGTTTGTTGATAAAACCTTCTATTAGATCAATATAACAACAACTCGTATGAATGGGATCTGTTCAATAACACGGTAAAAAACAATTCACACAATACTCTTGACAAGTGGCAGCTTGCCAAACCTCAGTGTAAAAAACCAATTGCTCACTAATACCCACATCATGGAAGCAGCACTTCAAATAAATTCCTCACATGCTCATCAACTCTTTCAACACAGAGTCATTGCTTTCAATCTCAAATGGCAAGCCATTCCTCACGACCAATTGAAACTCAATCCTCATATTCTTCAAGATTCCAATCATTCAAAAGATGAAAACACCACTCCAAGAATGGTGATTTTTCTATTGGAACGCAATAACAAGTACTTACCCATGTTAGAAGATGATTTAAGTCCTCCAGAAAAGAATTCTGAATGGTCGTCCTCTGATCCAGCACAAATGGACAGGGTGGATATTTCACAACAACAACATGTACAAGACCAAGACGAATGGGTCAAGAGATATACGAAACAAATCGATGAGGCTCGAGAAGGATTCGATGAATACTTTGATTACCTCAAAAAACATCAACTCGTTTCTTCTCTCAAGATGCATGATTCTTACTATGAAAGGTGGTCCCAATTTAACCATCAATTTTCAGCCGAAGGTCAACCAGTAGAAGGCAACGATGCTAATGAAGAACGTTCATTCATGTTCTTTGTGAAAATACTCAATGATGGAACCTTGTCGTTGAGAGGAGAGTCAAAACCAACCATGAAATATGAGATTATGGGAACTTTGGCTTTTGGTGTGAAACATGTGATTGTGAATGGAGAGAGAATGAAAATTGGAATTACTGGTTCAGGATGGGTACCTCCCAAATTTAGAGGTGTGCATGAAACCAAGTTGGTTCCGTGGTTTTTGCATTTGCACATGTTTAAAGAAATGGGTGTCAGGTAAGTGTGAAAATTTCGAATGTTGACATTGCCCAAATTTGGATATTCAGATATTACTATGCACATGTGTTTGAAGAAAACACAAGATGCTTGGGATTTGTTGAAAAAACTGGTCTGTTTCCTTCCAAGTTGAGAATGAACTTTATTGGAGTGAAACTTCCACTTGTCGAGGAGAAGGTTGAATCATCTTCACTAAAAAGAATTGAAACATTCGAGCGGTATAATTCATTAATGAGAAAGCTTTATGGATCCTCTAATTTTTTGGTAGACAGACTCGAAAATATATTCTTTCATCGCAATTTTGAAGGATGCTATGTGGATGAGGTCAATAATCTAACATTCCAATTATGGAAAGGAAAATACGGCGTGGATGCAACCACTAATGAACAATATCCAGCTTTCATGATCATGAACATGACACAAGCTGACTCTCCCATCGATGTTACTTCTCATCAATTAGATTTGATTCAACACCATCTTCAAAGTGACCTCATCCCTTCCTTGATCCAATCCAAAAATTTCACAAACATTTCACACACCTATTTGTATCATGTGACCAACAGCCAAGCCATGAAAGTTGCATTGTGTGAAAGACATCTCGATAATCCATCTCTTTCTGTGGCCTTCCTGGCTTACACCTTTCAGGACAATGACATGTTCATGCATTATCTTCCCAAACGAAAATCAGAATCGAACCATTCAACAGTTCCAAAGAGCGAACAAGTTTGGAATTTCATGATGGGAGAATACGCAGGTTATGATAAGAATATGAACTTGTTTTTGGATCCGAGAGATTGCACTAGCAAGCCCTTAGTGTGGAGTCAAGATATTAAAACCTCACTTTCCTTATTGGGAGAAGGAAAGGTGTCGAGACCATCTACAAGTTCAGCTCCAACCTCGAAACCAGTTGTCCAAGAAGAAGCCTCTCCAGTGTCATCTTGTCCTTCCTGTTCACCCGTTGAAACTAATGACTTGACACAGACAAATGCTTTGACTCATTCATCAACTTCAAGTCCTGAACCTCTTCATCACGAGCACTCCTCGAAACTAGATATGAATTCCAATAGTAACCGAAGATATTCCTCTCTTCTTAAATGGTCCTTAATTCTCACTCCAACTCTATTGGTCGCACTGTTTGGTGTGAAAAAGATGTTCTTCACTTCAAATCAATCCAAATAATTGTTGTAATTTATCCTTTGTACACAATAACAATCTACAAATATTAATAAACACAAATCTTGAACAGTAGAAAAAATAAATAATGTATGGTATTTACATGAAAATAGCGATTTAATTCTCCTGCCTCACTTTTTGAAACGGCCCAAATTGATGTCAAATCGAAACTGTCATTACCGATGAGGAGTTGAATTAAGAGAGAGACTGTTTTATCAATGTTCATCCTTTACAGTGGTGAGTCTAATTTAAGGATCGATTATGAAGAGTCATCAAGTCACTTGTTTCGATCAAGAAAAAAGATTTTTGTAATCTGTAAATGAGAAGAGTCTTTGGTGTACCGCTCACTAAACATTTATCTCTCAAAACGAGTCGAGATAAATTGCCCAATGCGTTATTAACAATTATAAACAAACTTCAACATTTCAAAAGAGTCATTCCTTCAATGGAGCGGACAGGTATTGTCACTTGTCAAAACAACACGAAAAAAATCGCCTTCATGAATTGATCAATTCAAAAAAAAAGATCCTTCTCAAACAAACAACACCCTTCTCCTTTCCTATCGTCAATATTTCTCAAACACTCTTTGACACTCAACAATAACAAACTACAAAAAGCCTTTCGAAACAGTTTAAAAAAAAATGTCTCCCTTTCTTGGAAAGAAGTTGGGAATTTCATCGAATGGAGGTTCAAACACAACAAACATTCAGAAAGATGAAGGTAAGTGTTTCATTGTTTTGATTCATCGAAACTGACAAGTGGCATCACGATGATGGTTAAATAATTTTGAATGATATTGGAATTTCATTGAAATTTTATTACAATTCTTGGTACATCCCGATTCTAAAAATGATTATTGTTATTTTACCAAATTATGTTCGTGACGATGATGGATATATTTGGTAATGTGAAATTCTCAACAAACAACACAACTTGGTATTCCAATGTTGATATATAATGCTGTTTGTTATTCATTGTCGTGATTTGCTGCTTTGATCATTTTTGTCTTTTTGGTTGTTGATCACGGGCTGTCAATTGTCAACAACTTTTCCTCAACCATCGCGATACGGCTGCACCATGACAATTCATTTTCCTTGATCATTCATTTTCACAAATTTTCACCTCATTGAATCATTCTGCTTCTTCTCTTCATTTACCCCAACATGTGATTCATATATATATTCATCATTTTCAACAAATTTTTAAATTCAGAATATCTGTCCTTCAATCCAACACTCCTTCCAGTGAAACATTGGAAAGTCCGTCATGTATCCTTCTTTCTCTCTCAATTGAATGAAAATTACAATCAAATTTGTCAACACATTAAATGTTCAGACCAACAATTCTCAATTTCTGATTCCACCATTTCCATTCTGATGGAAGAAGAATGGGACGGAAATTCATTCATTTCATTTTCAATGACTGATTTGGAAAATATTGGAATCCCAAATGATGAAAGTGAAATTATTTTCAATGCCATTCAAAATTTAATGCAAGTTCAAAAGGAAATGAATGAATTGGATGATTGCATTGATATGAGTGGACAGGTATTGACTTCACAGACGACCATTTCGAGTGTGACAAGTGGCAGCAATGCTTCAAAAAGAGCAACCATGCATGTTGCATCGTCCCAATCTCTTTCCAGTGATCCTTCTTCTTGCGATAATGATGATGTTGCAGTAATTGTCAATACGGGTGGTATTTCTCCTTGTTCCGATGTGCCAATGTCAAATTCAAAATCAACTGCACACTTATCTCTTCACAGAAAGACAAATTCTGATCAAACTTTTCTTTCAGAGGAATTTAGAGCAAAACTTGAGAGAAGATTGACCACTTTGCAACAACAAGAGCAATCCAAGTCCATGACAAGTGACACTTCTTCTCAACCAGCCAACACGACTGTGGAACCTGTTGAAGGAAACTCTTCTGGAAATACTTCTCCTCCATCATTGAATTCTCAACAAGAGCAACAACAAGATTCTTCAGCTGCTTCGAACACCTCTCCAGTCATTTACAGAAAGGAATCGATCCTTAAAAAGTTTTCCTACGATTCCCCACCCAATTTGACAAGTGGCAGCAGTGGTCGATTTGCCAACAAACAAGCAGTGGTCATTACTCGACGAGAAACTATTACTACCGACGCCTCTTCATTGCCTTCGAACACGTCTTCAACCTCGCCCAATTCTTCTTCGTCCTCTTCAACTACTACTACTCCAACCAGTGGTCAAAATCTCACACAATTTTCCGAGAATTCATCCACGACCTCGTCGGTCTCTCACTCCGTAAGCGGCGGAGGCAGTACGGCACGACCTCCTAAACCCATGGGATATTCAGCACGTAAATCCATGTTTACCACGTCACCTCAACCTCCAGAAGATTCAAAAGAAACAACTTCTGTTATGGAAAAATCAAATTCGAATCCGCCACCTGTTCCACAACCTTACAAACCATCATCGGCACAGCAACCACAAGTCGATCGACCACAAGATCGACAACATTCACCTCTTTCGATCACAAGTAGTCACGTAACTTTTAGTTATACTTCAAAGAATGCAACCACAGCAAGAAGTACTTCTGCAGATTATGATTCTCCAGATTCAAATTTGAGACCTTCTGTGGATTCTAGTAGTAGCACAAACAGTGGATTTCCAAATGTTTTGGTGAGTGCTTCTGAAAATTCCACAAACGTTGCTGCCACCACCTTGTCACATTCATCGAGTGATGAAAAAGTGAACAAACTTAAAAAGAAAATGGACGCTTCCAAGAATCGAAGACCTACATGCACACTCGATCATGATTTGGAGAGTTATATCAAATCGATTGATGAGAAACAAATTCCACAAACCAATTATCCTCATTTTCTGAACAATGATTTGATTTTAATTGAACAATTGGGAAAATACAAGTCACGTTACAAGAATATTTATTTACTCTTGACAGATCCAACTTCGTATGACACAATTGTCGAACGCAAAAAAGATTCGAAAAAGAAGAAAATGTTCGAAACCTCTTCAACCTCCAACGACGTCTCCAATTTCAGAGAAGGAAGCATTTCGTCACCTGGAACTGAACCCATGAACGCCAATTTTGACAAAATTTTCCCATCTGAAGCTTCTGAACAAACTCATGCCACTACGTCGAGTATTGTCATTGATTACGCCTCGGTCCAATTAAGTGAACATTTACCTCTGCTCATTGATTTGAAACATTTGAACGAATTAGAAAAGGTTTGCGTTTCGAACGCTTTCAAAAAGATTGCACCCATCGATCGAAGAATTTTTTCACACCGCGAAAAGATTTTCATTGCACAAAATTTGGCACTTGCCGATTGTTACAATTATCTATTCTTTGACAATCCAACAAGTGAGAAGTCAGGTTCTATTTTTTTCGATTTGGCTGGTTCTGGCTCTGAAAGTGATCATTCTCATGGAGAAAGTTCACCTCAGGAAAAACGAAGTGGATTAAGCAAATTGTTTAGTCGATCTTCGAAAAAGGAAGAACCTTATCTTCAAGTACAACTTGTCATTTTCGAGTTTGGAGATTCACTCATTATGGAAATGAATGATTCGCAGAGATATAAATTCTTTAGAACTGGATTAATGATTGGAAATTGGTTTTTGGAATGGAGAGAGAATTCATTGGTCATTCCTTCAAGAAAACCACCTCAAGGATTGGTTCGATTTAATCCACATTTTCATTTCATTCCTTTAAGGTACGTTGTTGTTTACTCTCGAGTTGACATTTGACATTTTTTTCAAATCTAAATCCAAATATTTTCCATTCCAAATATTTCAAACACATTTCACAGCAAAATTGAAGGTACCAAAAACATTTCCTCCATTCTTCACAGATTATCCGAAGTTTGTGCTCTCTGGAATGGTGCTCACATTTATCATCCTCACACTTGCAATCATCAACATTTTGTCAATGATGTCATTCTCTCGTTAGATCTTCTCCCAATTGAAGAATCCGATAAATCGAAGCCAGGAAAGATTTCCTTCCCATGTGGTCTCTCTGTCAAGCGACTTCTCGATCGAATTGAAAAATATGGTTTTAGTGACATGTCTCTCTACATGAACGATAGTGTGAAAGAAGCTTTATTTGGAAAAAAGAAACAACAAGAACAACATCAACAAACCGTAGAGAGAGTCATTTATGGAGAAGCTTATTCGAGATTGGGTGAAGAAAAAACTCTGGTTGGAAATATTGAATATGCTCCTGAGAGAATTCGAAGTAAATACACGTACAAGAATTTACAAAAGAATACAAGTAAGGAAGAGGAAAATGATGAAAAGAATTTTTTGATTTTCACTAGTCATTCACATTTGGATCAAGTGTTCTTTGATTTGGATACAAAAATTGGAAGTGGATGTGAAGGAAAGGATTATTTCAAGACAAGTCTGGATGGAAAGTGGGATTTATGGTTGTTGAAATTGTACGATCGATGTTTTTGGATTCGAATGGCCAATAAGATTTATAATCCAAAAGATGCACCACTTTCGAATTTGCCACAAAATTCACCTTTTAATGTGACACATACCGGACATTTTGGACCATGCATGTGTCCTTTCAATATGAGTGGTGTTTCTTTGACTGAGTTTGATATTCAATTGATGATGGTGAATCCATTGCCTCCAACGGAATATTTGGGAAGTTATGATCCTCCAATTCCAGATCGAATTTGGCTTCCTTATCAAAAGTAATGACTAGTTGTTGGAATTTATATATATCCAACTATATATTTCGAAATATCAATGCTGTTTGGCAATTAATAGTTTCAAGTAACAATAATTATTTGAAGACACTCTTCCACAAATTGTAGTTCTGTTATGTAACATACGATGATCATCATGTGAATAAAAACTTTAAATGTTGGCTGATCTTTGGAAACTTTTTTTTCAACTCTTCCAAATAGGTTCTTGTTTAGCAATCTCAAATTCAAAGTCCATGACCAAATCATGCAACAATGGTTTAATGAGCGAGCATTTGGAATAATTTATTATCACAGATAGGAAAAAATGTGTCTTATTGATTACCAGTTGCAGCTGGAGGAGCTTGACCTTGACCGCCTTGCATGTTTCTTGTCAAAAATCTACTTCCAATAAAGAAGACCATAATCATAATGGTGCTGCCGTATTTTTGGAAGAAGCTCATCTCCTTATTGACTTGTTTGGTTCCAACAATTCGGTCAATCTTGTACTTGGTGGTGCCGTCCTGTCCAGTAGTTGCATCATAGACCAAATTCAAAATGAAATTCTCCTTATTCGTGAACAAGAATTGATAAGTTCCCTTCAAAGCACCATTATTGGCTGCGAAACGTCCTTGACTCGAGGCAAAAACGACTGGAGGTGTATTTGGGTTGTTTGGTTTGTGAGTGACAAAATTATATGGAATATCAAAAACAATGGTATCATCCTTTCTCAATTCAGCGACTTCTTCAACATCCTCAGACTCTTCTTCCTTCTTTCTCTTAATCATCTTGAAAGTTCCGCTGTGTTCAGCATCGGATTGAACCAAAAGCTTAACATCAAACTCTGAAGAATCATCTTCGGAACCCTTTGGAAGATATGTTCCAAACAAGACTCCCTCTTGTAATGGAGTATGAGAGAAATTATAAACTCCCAATTGTGGGAACAATTCATCGGCATCTCCGGAAGCAGAATCTTGATCCACGGTAGTCATTTCAACCACCCATTCTCCTTGTAATAAATTATTTACGTTAATATCTGAAGCAGTCGTGGTAGCTTTCTCGTCATCGGCCAATGATGGAGAGGCTGCGAATAACAACAAGACTGCGGCACACAACAAGAACAATGAGAAAAGCACAGATTTGAATTGGTTCATTTTTTTTTCATTCAAATTTATTTTCCTTGTGTAAAAGGCAAGCAGGATGTTTTCGTGAACAAACAACACGTGTCGATTTCCGAGAAATATTCACAGGATATTAGTATGTTCTTGTGGAACCTGTCTAGTTTTTTGAAAGACACATATGGTTGATGACATATGTTGTTGAGAAAAATTCCCAATAATTTAGAGTTGACAATCTTCTTCTGCCTTAATGATAAAATTCTTCAAGAGATAATTTTCCAATTCAGAAGCAATTTGTTGCATGGTGGGACGTTTGGTGACATCTGTCTGAATACAATTGATCATCATTTGTGTCAATGATGCTCGATATTTGGATGGGATGCAATCATACTTGCCAGATTTCATAATTGTAAATTGAATATTGGCAGGAGAATAATAATTTTGGAGTTTTTCGTAGCCTTCATCGAGTGATGGACTTGAATCAAAGAAAAATTTTGGTGGGTGTTCCAAAAAGAATTCAGCCAAGAGAATTCCAAAACTAAAACAATCGAGAAAAGGTTTGGCCACTATTTGGCTGGAGGCAGTAGAGAACACTAATGGATCACAATATCCACGAGTGCCACAAATCGTTTTGCTATTGTGAACAATATTGGCAACGTCAAAATCGACTAATTTCACTTCCTCAATAGAGTGCGGATGACGTCTATAATATTTGATTGCAATATTTTCTGGTTTGACATCTCTGTGTACACATCCTCTCAAATGCAAGTAATTCAATCCATTTGCTACATTGCTTAAAAAGAATAATAGTTCATAGACGTAATATTTTGGTTGATTCATGTAATTGGCTTTGAAATCATTGATAAATTTTCGAGCGTTGCAATCCATCAATTCCATGAACATGTGAAGGCAATGTTCTCCATGTTTGTTTTTTACAAGTGCCGCATGATAGAGTTGAATAATGTTAGGATGGCTCAAGTAGTTCAATAATTTGAGTTCTCTCTCAAAGTTGACATTATCAAAGGAGAGCGGAACCTTTTTTACGGCACAAACAGTTTCACCCTTCTCAGGAATGTACACCACACAGCTAAAGACCTTTTCACCAAGTGAATCATGAGAATAGTATCAAACGAATTAATAATATGTGACGAAAAAAACCGTTACCATAGAGGATTATGATTGAAATAGTATCGAACGAAATAACAGATAATTTTCATTTGAAGTTGTTGTTCATGTAAAATTCAAGTATAAACCTACCTTTCCTGATGCACCACGTCCAAGTAGTTTTTTCTCCTTATACTGAAGTTTAGAAAGATCAGTAGCCAATCCTTTCTGACTATGACCACCAATGGTTCCAAAACTTTGTTGCTTGTACAAGTCTGCATCCACGCTGCTCACAGAGTAGAGGTGTCCAGGATATCTCATGATATCTACCAAATACAAATCAGGAAGTGTTGCAGATTTTGATTTTGTGTCAATGATTGAAACAATATTCCAAGCATGATTTCCTCCTGAGCATTTTCCTCGAACTAAACGACATCGAATATCTTTAAATCCATCCATAAATAAATAATCACAAATGTACTTGAAAAGGATGGATCGATGTCGACACACTCCAAAACGAACGTCTCCAATGAATATATATTTTGATTTTCTTTGCTTGGCAAGGTTTGAAATGTGTGTCGATGAAAAATCTGCAATATTAGGTGAATATCCACCCATACATGCACTCACAAATTCACTAATGTATGCATAGAAAATTTTCAACTCGCCTCCGGATAATCCATTCGTTTTGGCATTGGGAAATTTCAATTGAAGTCGTGTCGTCAGGTCATGTAAGAGCTCTCTCAGCTTTGTATCTTTGGCTTCATTGACAACAATAATTTCTCTCGATACTGATCCATTTTCATGACCTCTGCCACCATCGAGAAATATTTTCGTTCGTTTTTCATTCGAAATGTGATCGTCATATTCCAATAGTCCTTGTTTTCGATATTTGGATACTTCATCTCCTTTCAATAGTGAATACTTGATTTCATTGGTAAAGTACACAAAACTTTTCAATATGAAATACATTTCTGGTTTTACAGTGCTCAGTATTTTCCCCAAATAGGATTTTGTTTTTTCACATAGCGTTTCTGCCACTAAATAGAGATCAATTTTTGCGAATGAATCAATTTGACTAATATTACTTTCAATACTCGTTTTCACTTCAAATAACTCGTTACATGAATATATTCTTTGAGGTTGTTGTGATTGGAGCTGAGATTGTTCCACCACTAGAATTGCATCAATCAATGCATTCATCTTTTTCAACATCTTGTCCTTTTCACTTGCCATACCTTTCATAGAGGGATTGTGTTGAACCGATATGCTTCCATTCTTGTGTTGTACAAGCTTGAACGATGGATTTTTCGCGTGTTTTACATGTTTTTGTGATTTGTGATCTGCCCTGTGTTTCTTTTCAGGTTTTTGATTTGATGATGATGGTGTATTTACAAGTTGCTGCTGGGATGATGATTGCGGAAGTGATGGTGGTTGAAAAATTGGTACAGAAACTTGTTGTTGTTGTGGTACTACTGGCTGCGGCTGTGGTTGAGAAATGAATGGAGATTGTACTACTATGGATCGGAAAGGACTCACTCCTTGAAGGATCATGTTCGGAGGAGACTGTTGCTGCAAAGCTCCAACTCCTCGTGCAGGCTCTTGAAAAACGCCTTGTTCTTGCTCTAAAATATTGAAACGAGAGGCGGCGAAGAGAGAGGTCGATGGTGGTTTCGTGAGCGGAGACGGTTGTTGTTGAGAAGTTCCTCGTTGTACCATTTTTTTACAAGTGTTTTTGAGCGTGTTGGAACTTGGAAGTGGCAGGAATTCCAGAGTTTTCACCTCGAATTCCTTGGTCGAGAATGCATAGAGCTTTTTGGTGGGTCAACCAAGTTATGATAAAAAAAAGGAATTTATAAACAGCTAACAAATTTACAAACGTAATGTCTTGTGTGTTGTTGTGGCACATGTCTTAAAGACAAATCATCGAGTCACGGCCTGCACCTGTACCAATCCATTTAATTGGTACACCAATCAATTCTTGAATTCGTTTCACAAACTTTTGTGCATTTTCAGGCAAGTCTTCAAAGGTACGAACCTTGGAAATGTCACTCTTCCAGCCTGGGAATGATTCATAGACAACTTCCACTCTGGCCATATCATCGGCACTGTATGGAACAGTGTCAATTTCAACGCCGTCCAACTTGTAGGCAACACCAATTTTAACCTCTTCCAATTGATCCAAAACATCCAACTTGGTCAAACACAATGCAGTGAAACCATTGATCATGCAACCGTATTTGACTGCAACCACGTCGAGCCATCCGCAGCTTCTTGGTCTACCCGTAGTAGTACCAAACTCACCACCAACCTTTCTAATGGTGTCTCCAATTTCATCCTTCAATTCGGTTGGGAATGGACCGGCACCAACACGAGTACAGTATGCCTTAATGACACCAAAAGTTTCAGAGATGGCACGAGGAGGAATACCCAAACCAGTACAGGCACCACCAATGCAAGGTGAGGAAGAAGTCACAAAAGGATATGTTCCAAAATCAATGTCCAACATGACTGCGTTGGCACCTTCGAGTAAAATGTCAAGTCCATCCACATAGATGGCTTTATGAAGGTAAGTGACGGTATCAATAATCATTGGGCGAACACGAGGAATGTAAACATCTCTGTAGAGGGCTAATTCACCCTGTGCGTCATAATTTTGCAATTCGACACATGATGCATATTGACTCTTCAATGTCTTCAACAAGGTCATGTACTTTTTCTCAAAAACTGCAAAATCGGTCAACAAATCACCACTGCGCAAACCACTTCTAGCTGCTTTTGTGGTGTACGTTGGACCAATTCCTCTCTTTGTAGTTCCGATTTGTGATCCTGTTTCTTGCAAAACTCCTTCTTGGAAGCCATCAATGGCCTTGTGGAAACCGAAAACGAGATGCACACGGTCGGAAATTAATAAACGTTGCTCAATATCTTGAAATTCTTGGTCAATAGTGGCAGAATCATCACCTTTGTGTTTCTTATTCTTTTCTTTCAAATTGTCAATTTCAGATAAGAGTTTGGGAACCTCCAAAACAACACCATTGCCAATGAGGTTGATGCATCCAGCAGTGAGAACTCCAGAAGGAAGTAAATTGGTGGCATATCTGTGGCCATTAGCTAACAAGATTCAACGAGAATACGTAGTGCCACAAGAACCAACGCGACATGAATAATATCAACAACAGGAAAAACACGCAAAGAATGAGAGTCGTTTTCGTAAATTAGCAATCGGGGTTCCACGTGGGAGATTGCCAGAATCACATAATTGTGCATATTTACAAATTTGACATTGACAACATTTGGGCGATTTTTTTGTTAATGCAACAATCATCATGATGAGCCACTTCATACAAATCATAATCTTTGAAAACTTACAATCAACAATGGAATGTCCAGCATTGCTTCCACCATTGTATCGGCACACAACTTGATGTTGTCGGGCCATCAAATCGACCAACTTTCCCTTACCTTCATCACCCCATTGACCTCCAATCACTGCCCGAACAGTTCCTTTTGGTTGGGTGTACTTGTTAGTGAAGGCTGAAGTAGTACTTGTTGTTTGTGGTTGATGGCTCATGTTTATGAATGAAGCTGAGTCGTTGTAGAAGATGAGAATTTGTAAGTGTTATCGACAAACACCGATGTAAAGATAATTTTTTTACATTTTTTGAGGTACCCACCAAGGTTGAACGAACCAATTTTCAACGTTCTCGAAATGTTCATTACCCAGGTCGATTTTGGGTAATGGAATTTGGCTTCCACCATGATCATTCGCAAAAGTATTATTGGGGGGTATTAGCATAAGAATAGTACATGCAACGAAGATTGAGCTTTCGAACATTGGCGCAACGATGGTCAATGTAAATTGCAATCTCGCAAGTATGATCTACAATGTCTACGGGTTTGACTTGGAATGAATTTTGTTTGAAATTGTTCCAAGTTCAAGCGAAAACGAACATTCCAAGTTTTCATTGAATGGTGGTTGGTTCGTGCGCGTATCCGGAAGAGATGATATTCTTTTCTGCAATCAATCACATAACAATGTGTATTTACAGTGACAATGATTTACAAGATGTTACCTTAATTCTTATGGTCTCAAAGGTCACAAGGGTTAAAAGATCTGTCTCGCAACAAAACGAATAGGGTTGCAATTTAGAATCTCAATTTCATCGATGCAGAGACGGTATGACTGGACTCTCATATTCCCACAATAAAACGGCACATTGATTTATGGAATGAAACATTCGACTTCCTTCCACCATGACCATTCGTGATGACGCTGATGATACAAAATGCAGTGGCTCCTTTTCGATCCGTCCCATGTTTGTAGTTTCGTCAAGATTTGAACTCGGTATTATTGTTGTGTTTGTGTCATTCATAATTGTTGTGGTTGCATATTGTTGTTGTGATTGTAGAGTGCAATGATCATTATCCTCCGATGATCGAGGTGATTCCTTTCCATTAAATTTCCTTCTCTTGAATGTGTGGTGCTTGCTATATTGTTTGTCTGAATTGTAATAATTGTTATTACCAACAGAACCTGTTGCTGATGATGAAGGAGGATCTTTTCTCTTTTTGGAGCCTTCTTCGTCCTTTCCGATTGTCATTTCCAAACAACCACATTCACTGCATGATAGGAAAGAATCGAACATGTTTGAAAATTCAGAAACTGGTACAGAGTTTCGGAGTGGTGGCTCTTGTTGTTGTTTTGTTTTGTTCTTGGTGGTGGCAGATTTTGTAAAGAGATGCGATCAAGCAAAAATAGGCTTCTTGATTGTTGAAATTGTAAAAACAAGAACAGCCTTAAAAGAAACCTCCAATCAGAGAGTGTGTTTAGATACGAAACAATGAATTGGTTTAACGTTCTTCAATGGAACCAAGACAAATTGAATTGCCGACTCAAAAAAAGCCTCAAAAATCATAACCAGATTGCAATGACCGAAAATCATCATCATGATGAAACAATAATGTACAATAATGAAAATTCTGCAAATCATTACGGTCAGCAATTTAACTCATGCAAAAACCTTCAAGTAGAAAAATCCTCTCCAACAACATTATGTTTCCAAATACCATCGGAATTGTTTTGTTGCATCTTTGAATTTTTAACGTGGAATGAAGCACATTCCTTCGCAACACGAGTGAGCATGCAGTTATACCGAAAATTAATGACAGAAGATCCTTGTGCCAATATTTATCGAATGTTTTGCAAACGATTGATGGAATGTGAGGCAAAATTATTATTGGAACGACTTGATGAAAAGAATAAGCAACATGCGAGAAGTTTGTCTCAATTACGGTATTCTGTTCGGAAATTCTTGAAAAGTTCTTCTTGCATATTTCCTGACTTGTATCAATTATATAGAGAACCAATCATTGCAGCTGTGGATCAACAAGCTCTGAAAATTGAGGAAGAACGACAAGGTGGAATAACTCCCAAAAAACCATTCATTCCACCAAAAAGTTTGCTCGAAACCAAATCAAAAATCGAAAAAAAGAAGAAAATTGAAAAGATGTGTGAATGGAAGAAGGCACTCCAAGGACAATTGAGGAGACACAAACTTCTCGAGCTTGACATTTTGTTGCACCAACCACGACAATTACATTGGATTATTTCAACAAATTATAATAACATGAGAATAAGTCCTGAATTTGTGCAACAGCTTGGTTTGAAAATTATTGAGACGTTCTCTCGGATAGAGTTGTTGTCAAAGCACACCCATGTAATTCCAGCTAATATTCTGTACAGTGAGCATTTGAAATTTGGTTCCTTCAACTATAACATTTTCTTTTCCTTTCTCAAACTTGTGCTGGATTCACGCATGACCACAAATGATGAGAAACTCATTGAGCAGGACGGTAATACCTGGAATTCACAACAACAACAATCACAGAACAACATGTTCATTTTGAGAATGCTCGAGTTCTTTATTGAAGCGTATTTTAACAAGTTTGGGCATTACAACATTTTAATCGATGAGCCTTATGAAGGTATGAGCGCCTTAATGTTGATCGTTCAATTGAAGAGTCCTCCACTTTTACATTACGTATTTCAGAAATATGGAACTTACTTGTCCGTGCACATGACCAACCAGTCAAAGGTGTCACTTGTGACGCGTTTCATTCGCTGTTTAATACCACTCCCAGTGGTAAAATCATGTCTACTCGAGTACGCTCCTATTCTATGTTCCGAGTTGATTTGTAATCGAAAATTATATCCATTCAAAAAGCAGCGCAATATTATTCACTACTTGATTGGCGTCAATGGTGCACTGGGATTCACTGAAAATGAGTATTTCATTGAGTGGATAAATTTGGTAGACAATATAATTTCTCAGGCATTTAAGTGTGGCAGATTGCAAGAATCGCCTAAAACTCAGTTATTAAGGCTCTTTGGAGAACGGAACAGTTCAAACTTTTCTCCCATCGAATACTTGCAATATAATATCTACAGTAATCAACCACGAACTAGTGATGCAATCATTTTCAAAGAATTTATTGAACGAAAAGTAGGTGTGCACATACGACCGCAATTTAAGAGTCTTCAAGACAAGTATTGCTGTCAATTTAACCAATCACGTGTGATCTTTTCTTCACGCAAATATTAAGATGGAGTAAGGTTGTAAGACCTGTCAGCCCTTGGTGATTTTTTTAACGATGGGAACTGAATAATTCTACAAGTATTTGGTTGTTGGATGAATTTTGGGTTGTATTTTATGACATCATGATTTGGCCAGGATTTAAAAATTACTAATTGATGTATACTTATGTGATCCTGTTTTTTGAGGGTTTTACGATAAACCTTTGATTAACCAACCATATCACGCCAACAGAACCCATTGGCCAATGACCATGAATTGCTTTTTCAGAAGCCAGTCTCAATTCGGAAAACGCTCCTTTTCTAGAGCTAGGACGAAAACAAGCGACAATAAAAAATTGGCATCTCCTCAAAATTCTTTTAGTGTTGCTTGTTGTTTCTCCGAGCCGAGAGAAGCAACGAACATTTTCAATCCACTCATTGACTGCTCTTCCGAGAGCGTAGACTTAAATTTCAAGCTTGTACCACACTCGTACCAGGTAGGTTTATGCTTTATTCAAATGAAAGCATGTATGGATAATATTATTGGTTGTTCATCCCATCTGGGTCGCATACCAATGTATGGAATATAATTGTTGAACTTGTTCTTGTACCTTTCATTATCCATAATTCCTTTTCAAAACAAATTCATTATCCCTTCATACGAATCTGATAAAAAGAATTTTCAAGTATAGTCAGACTGGCAACCACACGTTTACTTGAACAACAAGAATATAACAACAACAACCACTCTTCTCTGAACGTGAAAACATCAATCCGAATTAGAGCAAGAGGAATTTTTGAATTTAATTTTGAATCATATCAACAACGTATTCATCAACTTCATCACAATATTACATCATCGTCGTACAGTTAAACATTACGTAATTATTGCGGACGTTTCCCATCACCAACAAGTTTAAAATGGCTCCACCTACAAACAACAACAACTCAAATACAAACATACCACCAATTCCAATGCCTCCGCCTCCGAATTTGATGAGTGGTCAAATTACATCTTCTCTCAAGTCTGGTACAGCTTCTATTATTCTCAACAAAACGAATAATACTCCACAAAGTCAACCAGTGACCCAACCAATTCAATTAGGTCAAGGAATTGGATCAAATACCATAAACGCATCTTCCGCGTCATCATCCTCTTCATCAGATCCAGGAGAGTCTTCATCATTTGTGAAGAATATAATGCACCGAGTTCCAATTTTCCACTCAAGAACAAAGAGTTTTGGAGGAACAACTACAACATCATCGTCGCTTGGAACCATTTCAGCACCAAATAGTGCACGAGGCAGTTTAAAGCTTGATCAACCCATTTTGACCATCTCTACCGCTTCACCACCCACAAAGGAGACGAATACAAAAACCAATGGAGGTAATACCACAAGTGTGTCAACAATATCCGCATCACCTACGACTCAGGAAAAATCATCATCTGGTGGCTCAGATCTTGGCCCTTCGCTTGTGAAAAGCGTTTCATCACCTTCATTCAAACCTCTTCCTCCATCTCTATCCAACAGTACATCAACTCCCAATATTGCAAGTATTGATGCTTTGACGGGCGGAACTGGTGCTAACTACCCTCAGAACACGCATTCCAGCAGCAAACATCTTGCGTTCACATTCACCAACTTTTCCAATGTTCCAAGCGTTCTCATGAATCACATTGTAGTGCATGAAAAGAGCCAACATCAACAAGAAAAGACATCATCTTGCAACAACAAATCAAAAGATGACTTGTCAACAATTGCCAGCGACAAATCATCGACATCTATCTCATCGGGTTTGAGCCGTTCCAGTAGTGAGAGCACCAGTTTGACGTCGGCCTCCTCTTCTTCTTTGTCATCATCCTCCGCAACCATTTGTGCAACTACTTCAACAAGCAAAAGCACTGATGTTGCAACATCCTCGTCAACGACAACACCGCAAAAAAGCGAGAATGCAATTCCTTCATCGTCTTCATCATCATCTTCCACGTCAAATACCACAAGTTCTACATCGGCTAATATTAATGCAAGCCTTCCTCCAACAGGATTTTTGGAATTCAAAACCAGATGTGTCTCCTTTCCCTGTTATGAAGGAAGTCCACTACAACAAATTGGATTTTTGCCATCTGCAAATCAGATCCAAAGTGGTACTCAAATTTCACATTCATCCAGTAACCCGAGTTTGACTCATTCAAATAGCGGAACACAGCTTAATACACTAGCCGCTGGAACTCCCACTGGATTGACCCGAAGTAAGAGTCGAGATAGTGGAATATCAGCCTCGTTGGCAGATGTGAACAAGAACAACATGTTTTGGAAGAATACTCCTTACGATCCGCATTATGTTTACAAGTATAATGTTGCAGAAGTAATGACATACATTTCGAATTGCAACAATTCTGGAATTACTAATGCAGCCAATGCGAATACTCTTCTCTATCATGATATTGTCATTTATTACAAAGACAAGTACAGGAATGCAATGTCAATGGATGCTAAAACATCATCAGGAGATGCCAAGCAACAAACTCCTCAAAAATCTTCATCCAATAAGACCTCGTCCTTTCCAAATTCTGTATTTATCAAAGATCTTTCTATGAATGGCTTAATATTCCATGGAACAAGAATACATACTCGTCATCAAAAGTATGATCCAGTGAACGTTCTTACACATTTGAACTATTACTTGCAACTCTATAATTTGAAAGTTCAGAAAAACTTCTCACTCTTTTACAATGTTTATAGATTACATTATGATCCAAAAACAGGATTAGTGTCAAATGCCTCTTCCACCACTACTACCAGCTCCACCCCAAATAATAACGAAATTGAAGAAATTACACTTATTGCCTATCCATTTGTTGAATATCCATTCATAGACTCTACCGATGAGAAATACACTGACAAGGTCAACTCATTACCTCCTAGACATGCTACCAATGTGGTTGCCGAGTCTCTATTCCATTTTATATACTTGGAATCGAAAGGAACATTTGTTTTCGAGGCAAATGAAATGTATTGCTATGGAAGCTATTTATTTGGAAAATTCGATTGTAGAATTTTTGATAATGGAGGTATTCCTAACCCACAAAAAAACAAAGGTAAAACTTCACCAATAGAGGACCCTTTGGCTTCACCTCAATCTAAGAAGACTGATTCTCACAGCAGCAGTAGCAGTAATAACAACAGTACTAGTAGCAGCACAACAACTGGTACTGCATCAACCACTAATAGTGGCAATAGTAGCAGTAGCAATACTGGAAACTTTTCAGAATATTTGGAAGTGAAACGATTTTTCTCGAGACATCAATGCAATGACGTGTGCAAAGAGCTCAACTTACTGAAACATCCAGCCCAAATGGATTATTATCGTCAAGTGGAACAATCTATATTCAAATTTTTGAATCATCACGTTGTTTCAACACAGCAATCCTTTTCCAATGTTGAAACTCATGAAAGTCCATCGAGCATCATACCTTTTGTTTGGAGAGATCCATTCAACAATTTACACAAGCCCAAGCCAAGCTTGACCTCACAGAATTCCAACAACAATAACCTCAGCGTCACTTCTGCAGAGAGTGTTGGCGTTTCACCAACCACCTCGAATACTTTGGGATTCGATTTTAATAAGAAACAACTTCCGCTCACTATTACTTATTTCCAAGAGCAAGGAAAGAGAAATTATATGGAGGATCGTATATTCTTTGTAAATAAGTCATTTGATACTTTCCATAGCCAACGCGCTGCTGTGTTGTGTGTCTTTGATGGGCATGGTGGATACGAATGTGCCGATTTTCTTCATCAAAATTTCATTTATCATTTAGAATGCTATCAGTCCTTAATATTCAATATTCATGAACCAATTTTCTCTCGAAGAGACTTGTTAGAGTATGCCTTTGTAAAAATTGATGAACAGTACAGAGAGAAAGTCGTCGAGCTCAATCGAAGCTCTGCGTCCATCAAGAAAAATGTTCCTTCACCAAGAACAACGAGTGGAATTACAGCCAGTGCTGGTTCTACAGGATGTACTGTTTTCATAACTGCGAGTGAGGAGGAACACAACACATATTACATTACATGTGCCAATGTAGGTGACAGCCGTGCCTTCATGATTCACCAATCTAAGATAATTCCTCTCTCTAGTGACCATAAACCTTTCTATGAACAAGAACGAAAGAGAATTGAAATGTTTGGCTCTCGAGTGGAGAATAACCGTGTATGTGGACTCGCTGTTTCTAGGACTTTTGGAGATTATTATGCAAAGAACAATCTCGATCCAACCAACCCCAATGCAGGAATTAATGTTGGATTTACACAACCCATCAATCTCAATGCCAACTTGAGAAAACAAGCAGTAGTTGCCTTGCCAGAAGTTGTCAAGCACAAGATTCACTTGGAAAAACCAAAGAAGGTGGTTGAAAAGAGAAAAGATGAGAAAGATGGAAAAGAGGTGATTACTTCTACTGTTATTCCAAGTCTTCCAACTCTGATTGTTGTCGCAAGTGATGGATTGTTTGATGTTATGAGCAATAGTGATGTTGCTGATTACATTTACAAGCAGTATTACCATCATAGAGTGAAAGACTTTAGCATTATTGCCAAGAATTTGGTTAATTTTTGCATTTACAATCGTAACAGTACCGACAATGTGAGTGTAATCATTTCAAGTTTACACTACACACCAGATCATTAAAGATTGTTAAGAAACAACGTTAAATCTCAATTTCCAGTCATATTCATTTGTATTCACACGTAATTAAGCTTTGCACATGGTTGTTGTTAAATAAAGAAATTTACTGTCGCTGTGAATTCACAGCAAAATTCAGTAATGAATAATTAATTTTGAGCTTTGCATGCACTTTCTGGAACTGGCAAATTAAACACGGCTGGATTGACAGGACCGAGTACAAAGTCATTGTAAGTAGTCAAAAGTGCTTGAGTAGCCACCTTCTTGTACAATTGAATTGGTAAATTGTAAGCAGCAGTGGCATTGGTATACAATGCATAATCAATGACCATACTCGCCACAACTTGCTTATCATATCTATAACACACACCATTCATTTTAGTCTCTTGATTTTGACAATTCAATTTACCAGTGAATGAAATTCCATCCAACAATGGCTCTCTCAATGGATCCATAGCCAAATTATCCACTCCACTATGAACTCTCTTCATACAAGTCCATTGACCTGAACTTTCTTGATTTAAAGTGTACAAAGTATCAATGGATTGGATATAGATATATCTCGATTCAAATCCTTGTGGAGAGGTTAATCGATGAGAGAATTTTCCTTGAACATGATCCGCTGCAACAAAGGCCGAAAAAACTTTGGTTCCTTTCACGTAATTTTTCATAGTCATTTGATATTGAGGAGGAAAGTAGGGTTGGGGTTGATTTTGAGCGAGTACTGATCCGATGCTGATGATCAGGACCATCATCATCATCCATACGAAAATATTTTGAGACATTTTTTTTGTGCACAAACTCCGTGTTGGAAAAAGTTGAAGGAAAAGATTTTTCAAAGCACAGAAGCTGATATGTGAGAATAACAGGAATGATCTTGTTGTTTAGAAACGTTGATTAATATTGATGGAAATACCTTCAAAAGAGTTCAATTTACCGAAAAAAACACTCACAGCTGGCACTAGCTCAACACATTGAAGTCACGAATTTCATGTTTCACGCGTGCAATACATGAGGGTTTCTGGAACCACACACCTTTTCAATTAAAAGAATTAGTGAACTCAAAAACCAAACATTGAAAAAAAAATGGTCGTGTTTGCAATGTATATTATCAATAAAGCCGGAGGCTTGATTTACCAACGGGTAAGTGAGAGGAAGATGAAAAATAGATCGGAATGAATGATATTGGATCTGGAATTTATTACAAATGATTTTAATGATCCTCTCATGATGACAATATATTTTTACAACCCGATGACCTAAACTTTCATCAAAATGAATAATGTTAATAATATTCATGATCGGATCGTTTCATTAACCATATTTTCCTATGCATCACTCTTCATCCATTGTTTGAAAATATTTTCTTTATTTCATAATCAGGATTTTGGAAAATATGCAAAATTTGTAAAAACAGAAAAGGAAAATGCAGAAAGGCTTCAACAAGATCCAACATCTCCAATTCCACCCAATGAATATGATGGTAAATTTGTGAAACCTTCAGGAAATCAATATCTGACATTGGCCTCAACTTTTCACGGTTTACATGCAATTTCTAAAGAACTCATTCCTCCCCATGCAAGAACACAACCCGAAGAAGAAAATGGTGGAATTGAAGTATTAGATGCAGACACTTTTAAAATATATTGTTATGCAACACCAACAGGAACGAAATTCTTTTATTTATTTGATGCCAAGAAGTTCAGCAATGATGGAGTGAGCACCATGGAAGAATGTTGTAAATGGGTGTATCAGTGCTATGTGGATTATGTGATGAAGAATCCTTTTTATGAATTGGAAATGCCAATCAAATGTTCGTTGTTTGATGAACACTTGGATAAGTACATGGCAAATCTGAACTCGACATTGAAAAAGTCCAATTAAATTAATAACAGTTGAAGTGGTAATTACTCCAAATTTATTTTGTAAAGTTGTGACCGTTGAAACATGGGGAATCAAAACCGTGACATCTGTGGCCAAAGACACGGCACCTGTCACCCAAAATGTAGAAAAAAATGGTGTGAGCTATTTCTCCTGTGATGCCGTTTGTTTTCTTTTTGTATTTGTCTAGTGCTGATTTGTTCTTACGAGCTCTTCATCTTCACACTCCTCCAGCTCATCATCATCTCGATACAAGACATTGAGATCTTCATAACAATTATCATAGAATGTGAGGTTGGGTTTCACAATAACCGTTGCAGACTGCGCATTCGATTGCTCTGATTTCTTTGGTCTCCCTCTCTTTCTCTGCTCTGTTTTTGGCGATTTGCTTCTCATCACAATGGCTCGAAGTGTCTCCTCTGAAATATTCACAAGTTTTTGATCCAATTCGTGTTGTTCCGTATTGTGCGGAGATGAAATTTTGAATACGAGTTTCTTTTGCTTATTTCTACTCTGAGATGTAGAATTGTTCTTGAGTGTTGAGTTGCATTGTTCTGTGCTGCTATTGGAAGATGCACTCGAATGGGATGCATTGCTTCGCCTTCTCGAACGTTTTTTCTCAATTTTACAAGGTGAAGATTTAACACCTTTGTGTGATTCGGGTGGTGGTGGTGGTGTTAATGGAGATGCTTGTGAAATGACTATTTGTGGTATTGTTTGATGTTGTGGTGGAGTCATGATGGTAGGAAAAGCAGCTCCACTAAAACTTGTTTGCACAATGTCAGCCGCCATCATTGAACATGTCTTTGGACGAGAGGAGGTTTGATTTAATTCTGTACTGATGATCGCCATGGCTTCCATGGATGGTGACGATGAAGCAGTTGGATCTTCACACGAAGAGTGTTGAGGACTCCTCTCCACATGTTGATAACCATTGACAGAATCAGGAATTGAGGACCAACCCAATTCATGTTCTCTTTGTAAATGTTGCTGTTGCTGAATATTGGAAGAGTGAAAGAATGATGGACTGAAATTGGGAGTGTCACTTCCACTGATTGCATGAACAAGTCGATTGAAGGACTCGTCTCCAATTGGAGTTTTGGTGTTATTTTGTGAAGGTAGATTCGTAGCACATCTTTCATTGCTGGAAAATGGAGAGGTCGTAGTAATGCTTTTAAATTCAAAGGATGGAACAACAACAAGTGGTGGTGACGGTTGAGGCGTTGGAATGGTTGTTGTCAATGGTGTTAAATGGAACATGTCATTATTTCTGTGAACTGCAGCAAAAGATTGTGCCAGAATGGGAGCGTCACTCTCTTTCCTTGTCACACGATTTCTCGTCTCAATGTAGGGAACTCGCGTTCCAGTACTTAACACCATTTCTTGAATTTGCTCAACATTGTGTTCATCATGAGTTTGATTGGAGGAACACATGAGCATGCCATTCGTGGAAGAGAGTAAAGATTGAGGCAACATTAAGGAAGAATTGTTTTGACAAGTGGATGTCAAGCACAATGTTGGTTGAGTAGAATACATGTCACTGGCAAGTGTTGGTGGTTGTTTTGGAATTTGAGAATTGCTCATGACGGAGTTCATCATTACCATGATGGGATGAGAAGGTGTTGAAACAGTGTTGGAATTATTTAACGGATGAATGGAAGGATTTTGATTATGGGTTGGATTGAATGCGCTCATTTGACTAGTAGTACAACCATGGTTCGTAGAGGTTGTAATGCTGTCAGGGATGTTATATTGAGCTTTTAAGAGAGCAGCCATTGGCAAGGTATTAAGAATGTTATTCACTAAATCGTCCACAGACTGATTGTCAATGGTCATTCCAATATTATGACGAGGAATTGTTGGAGTTGAGGAATGATCAGCACCAGTTGTAGAGTTTGTTAATGATGAAGGCAGTCTGTCCATTCCCACGATCAACTCATTTCCATGTTCAGAATTATTGGCACGACTTGACAACGTGTGAAATGCTTGAACATGATCGTCTCTCATCATACTCGTGTTGTGACCGTTCGCTTGTACAACTGCAGTGGTCGTTTGGAATGATGGAGTGTTGTTGGAAGAATTATTGTATATTGAAGACGGAGTGGATGGTAGAGTCAAATGCATTGAAGAGTCATTCCTCTTTGTATGGGTTACGTTATGTTGTTCTCGACTCGTCATTGCAACCATGGTCGAAGTAGAGGAATTAGGAGTGGATCTATTTTGTTGTTGTTGTTGTTGTGACCCAACAGTTACAAAGCTGGTGCTATCAGTTGGAGTGGAGATTTCAAACAGTGGAGAAGAAGAGGAGCTATTGGTGATTTTGTTCATTGTACCACTGTTTTGGAGCATTTGTGCGGAAATGATGTGAACTATGTCACACAAGAGAGCGAACACCAATGAAATTGTATGTTGTGGTGTGTGTGGACTCGTCGTCGTTGAAGAAGAATGAATGAGGTGCTCACTGAGAGTTTGATTTGAAATTTTGTTTTGTGAATTGTAACTATTGTCAAATTTGTGCTATTTGTTGTTGTTTTTGTATGTTGATGCAGTTACGGTGATTTTCTAAACAATTTTGTGAAGTATGATGGTCAACAACCGATAACAGTGTCGTCGATCGATTTTGGTGATACCACAAATGTGAGCGTCTGTTTAAGATTTCGACTGACTCGACCAACACAGCGTGTGGTTCTTGATGATTGAATCTGCGAGCGTGACGCCAAGAAAATCTCTTCAAAAATCCTCTCTCTTTTCAAAACGACTCGAGTTCAAGATATTGTCGTTGTTGTTGGAATTTTCTTTCAGCAAGGATTTTGGAGTTGTTGGTATCCCTTCGCGTGATCGAATCAAGTGAAGTGTTGTACAAAAGTGGGGTCATGAAGGAACGATGAGCAGGTGCTACGTTGATGCAGTTTTTGGGTTCGTGGTGAATAAATGGATAATAGATTACTTTTGGGTAATTTTTGGTCATGTAAAGAAAGATGCATTGATGTTGACATTGGCTCATCAAGTTCATGCCATGGATCACTTCTTTTCAAAGGTAATGCTCAATACATCCAAGTCAAATATTGAGATTTGCGGCCAATTGTTGCACTTACATTTTCGAACAAATGGGTCATGCTTTCTTGATATTAGATCATATAGACATCATTGGCATTGAAACGGGCCCGACGCATGTCAAATGGAAGTCGGTAGATAGAATAAGACTCCTGTAGACCCATCCACACGCATTCTCACCAACGGACGTACAAACTGGTAGCTCATTGTAGAAATCTTTTCAAGCTTAAATGTTGAGGGATTGAGGGCATACATTGATAGGTCTTTCCCTAATGCCACAATTATGTTGTTGTTAAAGTGGTCCACACAAATGTGGTCGTATTCACAATAAAGAGTGCACAACACTCTCTCTGTAGAGAGGGATATCACTTGAATACGATTTTTCTGAGGTACAATTAAGGCTTTAGCGTTGCATATCGATATGGCAATTGTTGGTTTTATCTTGAGAGAAACACTGCCCGTTTTTCCAAAACTTTTCAGTATTTGACCAGTGTCCGACCGTAGAATTTGAATTCGATGATCATTTCTCATCTTATTCATTAAAAGCTGATAGAGATGAGATTGAGATCCGAGCGTTGGTTGAAATATTTCACTCCAGTGTGATCGTGCATCTTCTTGAGGAGGAGGAAATAAGGAAATAGCTACACGACCGCCGTTGTCAATCATTTTTGCTCAATTTGAATTAACCTGATTGGCCTGTTCCGATTGTTATTTCTAAAGAGTGCTTGCTGCTTCTTACGAACATAGAAGCCTTTATAATGTATTCAAAGAGTTTTTCAGAGAAGCTTAATCGGAAGTGTGAATTGATTGGGATTAAATTTTTTGAATTTTTTAAACAAAAAAAATGATTCCAAGCAATTATTGTAAACGTTTTCTTCCTTCAACCTTTCGTAAGGTTTCAAATTCCGCAAAGGCTTTTCCGATGATGGTATTTGCTTCCTCCTCGTCATCTTTGAGAACGCAACAACTGTCGAATTACTCGAGTGGATTATTCGAAAGTTCGGTGCGGAATTTCTATAGAACAACACATTTTAAACAACAACAAGATGAGAATGAAAAAGTGGAAGCACAACATGTAGCTGATCGTTCCGACTGTATTTTGAATGGAACACATGAGAATTTTCAATCAATTATTGAATCGGGTGAGCCAATCATTGTTGATTTTTATGCTGAGTATGTACAAATTGTTGAGTATGAATTTTAATGATCCGTAACAAATTTTAATACACGTAATTATTAGCTGGTGTGGACCTTGCAAAAAACTTGGACCTGCTCTCGAACGAAATACTCTCAAGCATGGAGGAGTTTTTAAGTTGATTAAAGTCAATATTGATGAACAGCCACAAATTGCAGAAGCATTCCAAGTTCAAGAGGTTCCTACCGTGGTATTTATTATGGATCGAAAGCTTGTTGATCGATTCAAGGGAGCAATACCAGACGAAAGTGTCGCACAAGCTCTCGATAACTTTGCTCAGTATGTGACCAGAACGAAGAGTGGAGGCTCAGTAGAACAGCAACAAGCACCTACGGTCGATGCTGACTCTCCTGAATATCTCTTGGGAATTGCAGCTCAATTACTGAAGAACGGAGATCTTGACGAGGCATCAAAGGTTTATAGTCAAGTCGTTGAAAAATCCATGGATCAAGAGTTACCAGATTTTGCTGCTAAGGGATTATCTGGACTTTTAACCATTTCGCTTTTCCAATACAAAATGGATGCAGCTAAAAGTATTATTTCGAGGCTTCAAAAAGATCACATTGAATTAACAAAGAGTGATAAGGAGATTTCTGAAGCCATCTCTCTCTATGAGCTCTATAAGGAAGCAGGAGATGAAGTAGTAAATGCAATCCATGAAGGCAAACCAGTAGAATCGCTCGGTACAGAAAAGGAGAAGGTTCTGTACTTGTATTTACTGGGTCATGCAAAAGAAGCCATTGAACATGGAATTTCATTGTTGAAAAAGAGTGCCACCAAGGCTGATGGAAGAGCAGCTCTCATCCGTATTTTAGATTGTCTCGAAAAGAAGGACGACAAGAAGAAGTTAGTCATGGACACGAGAAAGAGGATGGCAAGTTTGTTATTCTAAGGTAGCCCGACCAATAACGAATTTAATGGTTATCGTTATTTTAGTAGATAATGATTGAACAATAGAAAATCTTAATTTTATCAAGGAATATATGTTCTCATACGCCACCAACTCGCACCACTGAACCCGGCAAACAACAACATCGTGCAAAGGCCTTTTCACTGAAAGATCTTTTTGTAATTGCCGTGTAAAGCTCTAACAATCGACCCAGGCAGTCAAATGTCAATCAAAAGAAAAAATTTGCGCCACATCAAAACTAGAGAGTGACAGTCTGTCTTTCCCATCATCGCACAAACTGAGCTCTGTCATAGTTGAACAACAACTACATTGTGATTTTAACTCACCTCTTGTTGAGTGTGTTCATTATTCTCTCTCGTTCAATTCAAACAACAACAACCATCAACTCCATTCTCGGGTTCAGTAAAACAACTCATCACAACAACAACAACTCAGAGGCCTCACTGAGTCACTCACCCCAATTTTATTCGTTTTACATTCGAAACACTATTTTCATACAATTCTTACACCAATCGTATCATGATCGTTACATTTGCTTCCAATGTTGAGACTCACTACATGGGTTATATTGTGGTGTGCCCAGCCGGAGAGAAGGCCATTCTCGAGAAGAAACGAGGAGGTTGGTGTTACATCCACTGTAAGCTGAAAACGCCTTCTTCTTCTTCTTCGCCATCATCCACAACAACCAATGATCATCAGAACAATTCCAAGAACAACCATGAAAAAACGGAATCCACAACGAGTACTACTGTTACTACTACTACGACTTCAGTTCAATCAATTCAAACAACAACAACAAACACACAAAATCATCACTCCGATCATGATGTTATTTCATCAACAACCACAACAACACCAACAAATACATTTTCATGGGGAACATTGAGAGTTCCAGCCATCTATCTGAATTTGGATGAAGAGGCTGTTCAAAAATTGGATGATACCATTTCCACAACATTCACGAAACACGATGAAGATGAATTGAATCCATTGGAATGTGTAGCCTATAAACAACCCGAAAGTCTTGTAAATAATATTACCTCCACATCATCATCATCCTCATCAACAACAACGGCAACATCATCATCAAGTTCTTCATCTCCTGGACTCTCTGCTCTCAAACAACTCTTACTCAATTCTGCTGCTGCTAGTAAAAACTATAGTACGGATGAAGAGTTAGATGCTGCACTCGATCCGAGAGTGGATAGCTCAAAACGAAGAACTCAATCCATGAAGGGCATCGGAGCAATCATTTCTACACCCAATCATGAAGAAGAGGAAGAGGCTAAATCGGTTTCAACTCCTTCTTCGTCCGGAGCGAGAAAATCAGCACATTTAACGAGTTTAAAACCAACCAAAGATACAAGTAATGCCTTAATCTTGGGATCTTATCGCTCATCCTTCGATTCAGCAGCATTGTTTGATCAATTGGTATTCAATCAGGGCAAGAGTGTTGGAACAGCTACAACAGCAACAACAACAACAACACGAGCAACTAGCTCTGTTTCTTCGACGCCCATGACACCAAGTCATGAACAGAAAACAACTGATACAATTTTGGATGAGATGATGGTTGCTGAACAACAACAACAAACGAAAGAGGATCAACAACCAGTGGAGGATCAACAAGCAGTTGTTTCTGAAGCTGTTTTAGATCCAAGTGTCACACCAGTTTTGGATACGAAAGAGGCTGTGGATTCTAACAAGAAAGAGGAGGAAAGGGTTGTCACGCCAAGTGACGTACCAAAAACTGATGATGTTTGGCAAGAGCAAGAAGATGATTTAGAAACCTTTGATGCAGAGACGGAGACAGATGCTGATTTTATTCTTCCCTTCTCAAAAGTTGAAACATTTGACAATGAAGATTTTGATATTGAGGACCTTTTGGCACTCTCTGAATTAGCTGAAATGGAAAATTATGAGCCCAACGTGGATCAGCAACAATTAGAATTGTACAGAACTAAACTTCCACACTTTTTCGATTTTGATCCGAACATTGACGACAGAAAGAAGAGATTATTGCATCACATTACTCTGCAACATGCTGCCCGTAAATTGGTCAATGTTGGAGCAGACTATGATTTGAAGTTAGCCATTCAACAAGGGTTGGATAGAGCTAGAGGAAAACAAACCAACAGAAAGGCCACAATTTTCTCTGGAGTGTCGCCACTGCAATATCAAGAGTTTAAAAAATTCTCTGTTGAAGAGGCAGGAAAGCTCATCTATCGTGTCTTTACAGAATGGTGGAAATTGAAAAAGTTTGTTAATTATTTAAGGGTAGCCCCAGAGTTTAAACAACAGAGATTGAGACAAAGCTGTTTGAAAGAAATTCTCTCAACTGAACGAAGTTATGTCAACCAACTTGAAACGCTGTACTATGACTTTTATCTTCCCATGAAGAAAAACAATTTTGCAATTTTCACCAATTATCAAACTGGTCCAAATGTCAGTGCCACAAATATTGTATTACGTGACGGGTTGACTCCAGAAATGCAGTACAATACTATTTTCAGTAATATTGAGCAAATTTTGAAAACTAACACAGCTCTGTTGCACGATCTTGAAATGGACTGGAAAATGCACTGGCCTAAAAATCATTTTCCTTCAATTTTCAAAAAGATTTTGCCATTCTTAAAGGTTTACACAGTATATGTGAATAACTATGAAAAAGCTAATGAGTTGGTAGAAGAGTTGATATTGAGAAATCCAAAATTTAATGAATTTGTAGAGACTGTATACGAAAAGAAAGGTGTGACTCTCCAGAGTTTGTTAATTACTCCTGTTCAAAGAATTCCCAGATTGAAAATGCTCTTTAGCGAGCTTCTTAAGAGAACCGTCATAGAACATGTTGAGTATAATGTTATTGTGGAAACATTGGCAATACTGAATGAATTGGCGCTATTCGTGAATGAAAAGAAGCGCCACGATGAAAATAACATTACTTTCCTCAGATTACAACAAATTTTGAAAAAACGTTTCAACAATTTGGTCACACCCCATAGAAAATACTTGAAGAAGGACGATTTCAGAATTCAATGTTCCAGAAAGTTTTTAAATTCCAACTGTGAAGTCTATCTATGCAATGACATGATGATTTGTATTCCAATGACAGCTGATAGAGGATTAAGAGTCGATTTTGCACACTTCATTTTCTTCACATTTTCTGAAATGGATACAAAAACAGAAGAAGAACTCAATGATGAAGAGCGTAAAGATTTTACCATTAGAACCTTTTTAAAGAGTTCCATTTATACGTTTAAATTTGAAGCCATTAATGGAACCGAACGAATCAAGTGGGAGAAGGACCTTCGAGAACTGATTGATATGGAACACACTCGATGTCGCAAATATGGAATCAAAACATTTGGAACTCACATTGATGAACTGAGTGCTCGTGAAAAATCATCCAAAGCTACCTCTTCAAGCAATCACGCATCCAGCTCTTCCAATGACAGCAATAGTCCAACTGTAACCTTTGCTGATACTGCAAGTAGTACTACCAATGGTGCAACAACAAATGCCTCTTCTTCTTCTGGGACTATTAGTTCGAATCCAGTCGTAAGCTTGAGACAACATCTTAGCAATGCAGTTGGAAATAAGGAAGAAACTTCTGTCATGATTCAAGATCGAAGAATCAGATTGTACAATAGATCAAAAATTAACAACTCAAAATTAAGCTCAACTCAGCTTAGACACAAGACGGTAAAACAAGAAATGTACACACTCAGCAAGACTATTCGAGAACAGAAAAATCAAATTGCAGAACTAGAAAAGATGATGCGTTCCAATCAGGAAAAGTACAATCAATACGAAACCGAATTTGCAGAAGTTGAAAAGAATCTTGTAACACAAGATCAAGAAAAGAAAACTACAGATCATGAATTACTGGAAGTAGATTCCAAGTTGATGGCAGCTTTGGGCAATGAAGTCTGTAGTTTTGTGGAAATATTTGGATCCGATCCAGTTTGTGATTCCAATAAGGAAAAATATGTGAGACCTTTGGATGATCATCGTGCCAGTGTTGTCACATTGAAACCTATTAAGGTCAGTGAACTTTCCACATCTACTTCCAATGAGAACAATTCTCAACAACGAAAACCAATCATTGGAGGTATTGATGAATTGAAAGAAGCTACCGAAAAGGAATTTATTGTTCCATCTCTCGCATTGGATGCAAGAAGAACTTCCGACGCAGATTTTTTGTATACCTCTTCTGCTGGATCAGCTGAGGAATTGATGAGTTCAGATCCTCGATCTGTGAAATCTGCAAGAGGTGCCAACAGAGGAAGGAAAATATTTTCCATGACACTTAATGGAGGATCATCTTCTCAAAACAACAGTGCTTCTTCGTCACAACATCAACATAGTAATTCCATAATTTCCAAACAAAGTAACAGCGAAAAACGAAAAACATTGTTACAAAAAGCAAAAGGAATTTTGGTTGGAAATAATGACAATCAACAACAACAACAACAAGCTCCTCGAAGAGCATCCTCTGCTGAGAATCTTGTTGCCAACACGTCTAACAATCCATCCAATGTGAATGGAAGTTCCAATTCTTCACATTCCAATCCACAAATAGATCGAATTGTTCTCATCAAACCTGTTGGTTGTCTCTCACCCGTTGCAGATGCTCCTCAATATGGTCTTCCAACATTACCTGGTTCAACCAATACTATGCCTTCTCTTCCTCTATTCCTTTCGAATAAGCCAACAACAACAACTACTAATACTTCATTCACTTCAGATGGTTCAGATTTATCATCTTCAGATTTATCACCAAGTTCTTCGTCGTCACAAGCTTCACCTCTCGCACGATCGACTTCATTTAGAGAATCTACAAGTGGAGGAAATAACGCGTCGACTTCAATGAAATCACCTCGAAATATGCTTTCAAAATCTCACTATGAAGATAAACGACCATTCCACTACAATCGAGAAACGATTGATTCATTCCTAGATGCTGATGTGAAGGACCATGGAAAACAACAACAACAACAATTACACAAACGGGTTTTAGTGAATCCAATGTCGTCACTTTCAGCCTATGAAGAACGTGACCTTGACAAGTTGACATTTATTTCACTCGATAAATATGAAGACATGAAAGACGATGAAGAAATTGAAACAACGAACAAACTCTATCGATTGCGGCCTCTTCCAAAATGGGATACCTTAGAACAGGAGGAATTAAATTTCATGTACAAGGCAGATCGAGCAGTCCATGGAGAAGAAATGTATTTCAAAACGAATCCATTACCTATTGTTATTGGAAGAAGGAAAACTGACAAATTGTCGAATTGTTATTTGGATGAAGAGAGTGATCGAGAAGAATTGGAAAAGTTGCCAGATTCTGTGGATGGTTTGAAATTGCTCTTGTTGCAAATGCAGAAAGAGAGTCAAGAATTGAAACAGCAATTGTTCTTTGGAATGTCTGCAGAACAAGCAAGGACATCCACCAGTACCGTCAAGTGACGAGATTGATCGAGGAAAATTTAATTTACTCAAGTGTGAAAGAGTGACATATTAAAATTTTCAAAGGAAACTGAACGCATGACAAACGTGAATAGTCTTTGAAAAACATTGTTCTCAACACAAATTATGTAAAATGTCAGATTGATTCTGTTCCACTCTCAAAATAATGCGTGTTGCACTAAAGTCAATCGCGGTTTGAAAACGAGCCACGCGATACCAATAAAAATTGGCATTCCAAAATCCACAACACCATCCTGGCTTACTTGACGCAAAGTGAGCTCTTTGCCATTGTCCTTCCATACTGGCAACCACGCGTGTCACTCCATACGCATAATTATCAAACTCTGGTTGGTCCATTAATCTATATTTAACGAACGGCATGAATGCATCTTCAGTTAAGGGACCAACAGCAATATTCTTTTCTGGTGGTATTTTGACGTCATCATCTGAGTCCAATTTTTGTGTCACCGTCGCAGAAGAATTCTCTTTGGTTGGTTGATAAATAGTGTCCTCCTTGTCACATAAAATGGAATAACAAAATTTCAAAATGGAAATGGAATGATGAGAGTCTTTCAAACCAACACACATCTGATCACATTCAGAAATGTATGGTGTTCGAGGAAGTGCTGGCTTTTTCCTCTGCGTCATGACATACTTTCGGATGTTTTGAGCATGAATTGCCAATTCATATGTGATCTTGTTCAAATATTTCTGTGTTGTGGAAGAGTTGGATCCAAAATAATTTAAAATCATTCCATGTCGATCGAAAATGCTCAAAATGACTGCAAGTTTGTGAGTCTTGATATCCAAATATAAAGCATTGTGCAGTGTTGTTGCACTCTCAGAATCTTTTGCAAAAATATCATCTAACATTTTCTCAAATCTTACAGTAAAGTAGCAATAGTTTTGTGAAACAAGACGTTGCATACGTTCGTCGTCTTCTTCTTCGTCTTTCTTTGCCATGTAGTCTTTTTTGAAAAAGAGATCAGAAGCAGTGTTTTGAGAAGTCGTATCATCCTTTTCATCTTCATCCTCTTCTTCTTGATCGTCCTCTTCTTCTTCTTCGTCGTCCTCTTCATCATCCTCGTCGTCGTCATCTTCCTTCTGTAAAGGTTGTACAATTTGTTTTTCAGTCATCATTTTATAATTCTGAATTGGAATCATGGAAACGACCAACTTGAACAAACTCAACCAAAATCTATTTTCACCATAACAATCTTCAAGAACTTGTTGAACGAGAACAAGAGTAATCGGTGATGATTCATCATGACTGGTTGACATTTCCGCTACACTTCTTTTCTCCACAATGTGTTTCTTTGTTTGCTCTTTGACATTCTTGTTGTTCTTACTTGCTACATATTCATCTTGTTCGTCTTGCTCTTCATCTTCAGAATCAGTGTCATAGCCAAAAAAACGGCTATCGTAATTGCAGAAATGTGGATGTTTGTGTGTAATAATCTTGTAAGAAGGCCTTTCTTTCGTCTTGATATAATCAGAGACATGCCCACGATTCCTGGAAGGCACGGCACAAATTTTAAATGATAGATGAGCGCTTGAATTCTTCAAATTACGATTCAATTTCTCTAAAAACCAATCTACTGTTCCAAACTCTCTCTGAAATATGATTTTCCACAAAAAATCTCCCAAACTCACTTGATTCCAAAATTTACAAACACCAGACATGCTTTTGAGAATGTCTGAAATTTCCAAAAAGATCGATCACACAGATTCAGAAATAAATCATCTTAAAGTAATATCCGAGCAGAATGATTGAATTTCAAGATTTCTTTTTCAGGTTTTCTTGCATTTTTTAAATTGTTCGGTAAATGAGGACGAATCTGAATCTTTCAGAGCAAGCAACAACAACCATTCAATACTTATTATTTGAAGTTGTCAACAAAACTCGACCGAATAAAAAAAGTAACCAAAACGTGAAAGAAGAACGCGTCCATCATGAAAAACCGCCAAACAGGGTAGATGCTGAGAGGGTGCAGGTCCGATCTGAACCAGCATCACGTTCTTCTAAAAATCAAGCAATCATCCCAAATAATGATGAAAATATGTTTGCTCCGGATACTCTTGTGTTGATCGGATCGTTTTTGGAAATTTCAGACATTCTCAAAAGCATGTCTGGTGTTTGTAAATTTTGGAATCAAGTGAGTTTGGGAGATTTTTTGTGGAAAATCGTATTTCAGAGAGAGTTTGGAACAGTAGATTGGTTTTTAGAGAAATTAAATTCAAATTATTATTTTTATGGAGAGTGGTTTGGGTATGACAGCCTTGACGATGAAGATTACGAAGATACATCTCCCATTACTCTTGAACTCGTTCAACAAGTTCTTGAAGATTGTTATGGTGAAAATAGATTTTGGTTGAGTTTATTCAAGTTGGTTGTTTCCATGATTCCAATCCAGAATTATAAAATGATGACTGAAAAACAAATTATTCAATCTTTAGAAGCACAACCAAGAGCACAGAAGGCTGTGGATTATGACGATGAAGAAGAATTTTTCAAACAAGACTACCTAGCTCCAAAGGCGAAAATGAGCATGAGTCACAACTCGAGTCTTATTTCTTATAACTATTGCTACTTTACCGTACGAGTGAAAAGGATGTTGGACGATATCGATTCCAGCAAGGTTCAGGGCGCTCCTGTTTTGAGAAAAGCAGTGAATGGTTGTACAACGACTCACAAACTTGCAGTCATTTTGAGCATTTTCGATCGACATGGAATGATTTTAAATTATTTTGGATCCAACTCTTCCACAACACAGAAATATTTGAACAAGATCACAGATGAATTGGCAATTCATGCTCAAAACATCACCAAGTATGACTTGATGAACAAAGAAAAGCCAGCACTTCCTCGAACACCATACATTTCTGAATGTGATCAGATGTGTGTTGGTTTGAAAGACTCTCATCATTCCATTTCCATTTTGAAATTTTGTTATTCCATTTTATGCAGCAAAGAGCAAAATATTTATCAGCCAACCATTCTTCCTAACGTAGCAGATGGATCGAATGGTATTGAGGATGACGACGAACATCTTGCAACCAACGTTTCAGTGGGACCTTTAACTGAAGATTCGTTCATGCCATTCGTCAACTATATATTAATGGACAAAGCTTCATCTGATTTTTATGCAACCAAAGAGCAGCAGAGCACTGAATTCAGGTCCGGTAAGCCAGGATGGTGTTACGGATTTTGGAATGCTAATTTATATTGGTTTCATGTGGCTTATTTTAACACCTTGCTGAAATTTGGAGGTGGGAATGATTTTATTTTGAGAGTAGAACAAGATCAGTCGAATGTTTTGCATAACTTGTGCTGAGCAACCAAGATGATATGCATCGTTAGCTCATTTTCAAAAATTTATTTACAACAAACATACTGAGGGTAATATTTGTAATTGGATTTAGAACACTCTCGACGAAGTGAATATCATTATTGCATGCGCATACTTTAATAAGTGAGTTTCTTTTAAAGTTTACAATATGGTAGTGCTATTACTTTTTCAAGATGTTCAACTCGTGTTAAATTTCCACTTCTCCTCTATAATCATCATTTTCATTCTCCCCAGCAACATAGACCTCCTGCTCAGGTTGTTGAGGCCTCGTGCTCATCATTTGGAAATGTATCATTCCCAATCCACTCACAATCAATTCATAGACAGCTCCCGAATTCAATACCAACTGGAATGTATATTCATATTCAGTTTCAAATTGACGCCACAATCCAACTGTGGGAGAGGTTCCTCCTCCTGTGCATTCACCATAATTGAATGTTGGAATGACTGCTCTGCATTCCACCAAATCCACTGCTTCTATTTTTGTCAACTCTGGATTGGTATTGAGGAATTTTAATCCAACCACATACCAACATTGTTGATGCAAAAAGTAGTACAAACATAATTTCAAATGGACATCTGGATAGGAGACTTCACAGTAACGACCTTCATTGTTTTGAACTTGTTCTAAATTCTTACGAGAGCGACATGCTTTTTGAGTAATGAGTTGTTCGACTTGTTTTTCAGATGGAAACTTTTCTAACAGATATTGTGTTGGATTCATTTCAAGGAGATCTTCTTGTTCGATTTGAGCACCTTCTTCTTGCTTTGTGGTATCATAGTAAGCAAATTCATCGGATGGCATTTGACATTTCGAACTCGATACCGGTTGATGTGGTGTTGAAAATACACTCAGAAACGTCTGAGGAAGAATCCAAATCACTTCCTCTTCCATGGCATTGGCATCTTGAATGTCTTCAGATGATTTGTCTCGAATGGTCGATTTTGCATGTTGTTCTGTTTTAATCAGAGTCACTGCTTGCGGAGTTGCTGATGCCGAGACAGAAGAAGAAGGATTTCGTTCGATGGATGAGGATGTTGGTGCCAACATGGTAGAGGGTGCTTGTGGAGTTGAAGACACGATTGGATATAATGTTGTGGACATGGAAGATGATCAAAAAATTCAAGTGTGGAGGGTACGTTCGGTTTGGAATGGACAATACTTTGTTTTTTTAAGTGAAACGTTGATGGTGCCGTGTGGTGAGAGTGTATTTATTTTAAGAAATTTCTTTTCATAACTAGAACATTGTTAGTAATTTTCCAAATTAAGGATTGAAGAACTTTTGTTGTACAACTCCTTCGAGACACTTTTGAACTTTTTCAGTACTTGGTTGTAAATGGATCCGTTGTGTGATCAAAATGCCTGCTCTCTATTAATGAAATAGCTCTTGAGAGAATTCACACGTCCACACAGAAATACATTGTAAATTCCACAATTTTACAACATTCATGAACCGCTTAATTACCATTCGTTTATTGGAATCAAAAACATTGTTTCAAAAAAATATTATAACCATCATCATCATTGCAGAGAAAATGATTTCACTCCCTCCCAAACAGTGGTGGTGGTCCTCCTCCCTCATTCTCATCCTTCTAACCATCATCCTCATCGCCGCCGAACATACCTCCCGAGTGATTGCCCTTCCCATTAAAACAACCATCACGACCACCACCGATTTTACACCCACACAAGTTCACTTGGCCTTCACCAACAGCACCCATCCCAACGCACTGGTCATTTCCTTCCACACGAAAAACTACAACAAGGAATGGCTCGGAATGCCCATCGTGAAATACTCTGCCATGGATTCTACTCTTTCACATCATTATGAGCAGAGTGCTGAAAGTTCAGTGTTTCAATATGGGAATACTCAAGTCACTGGTTATGATTTTCATGTCTGGATTCCAAATTTGAAATTTTCAACAAAATATTATTATCAATGCACATTTTCACAAATGCAAAATATTTCAAGTGAAATTTATAACTTTTATACCAAGACAGATCCAAAACAAGCACAACATGAGGTTCATACAGTGATCATGTATGGAGATCAGGGAACGACGAATAGCAAAAATGTCATTGCCAGAACTACAGAATATATTCATTCCTATTTTGGAAACAAAGAAAATAATAATAATTTATTTGTGTATCATTTGGGAGATATTTCATATGCTGATGATTTTGCAGGTGTTCAGTATCAACCCATTTGGAATCAATACATGGACATGATGGCAAATATCATGCCATATGTACCTTATATGGTTTGTGTTGGAAATCATGAAGTAAGTCAAATATTTGGAGTGTTTTTCACATGATTGAAAATTTCATTATGTCAATAACCTTAATAATTCAACAATATGAATTTGAAAAATATTTGGTCACTCTACTCCATCATCATGTTTAAACCATTCACAGAACGGACCTCAAAACAAACCCTATGATGACTTTGAAAGAGGTTTTATGGCATATAATCATCGATTTTTCATGCCAGGAAGAAATTCTTCTTTGATTGGACATAATATGTGGCATTCTTTTGAAAATGGACTTGTAACATTTGTGGCTATTGATACGGAAACAAATTTCCCTCACTCTTTCTTTCCACAATTTAATTTCCAAAACAAGATTGATCAATTGGAATGGTTGAGCGACACCTTGTCGAAAATTGACCGAAAGAAAACTCCTTGGGTCGTTGTGGTCGGCCATCGTCCAATTTACAGTAGTCAATACATCTTTTCAGCAGCTAATGGATCTATTATTGGAGAGTCTAAAATTCTTCAACAAGCTTTCGAAGACATTCTTTACAAATATCAAGTAGATATTGCCATGTTTGGTAAGTAAGGAAAATTTGATCAAAATAATCAAAAACATCAATTTCATCATTTCTGCTTCGACACGACCTGACACATCAATAGGTCATGTTCATAGCTATGAAAGAACCAATCCAGTCTACAGAACTCAAGTGGAACCAGGAACTGCTAATAGTAATCATTTTCACAATTTACGATATACCATTCATATTGTGAACGGAGCTGGAGGAAACACGGAAGGTCTCACACCAGGAAAGGATTTTTATTTGGGACAATCATGGGCCTCTAAAATTTTCTATCAAGATGAAGGATATGGTATTTTGAAGTCAAGATTTGATTCAAATTTGAATGTGTATTCCTTAGAGTTCAATTATTATGCTGCCAAAACTAATGAACTTGTGGATTCATTTACTGTGACAAAGAATGCATAACTTGTGGATGACATGTGAAAGAATTAAACAGCTGAGAATTGACTGTTTAGAGGTGTGTTTTTTTGTTAATTCTGGTAATTTCTCTATATTCAGATAATTTCCAAATTAATTCGGCCAAGCAAGAATTAAAGTCCACAAAAAATTGAAACAACATGGAGTCATCGACCGTCGATCCACCCGAAGCTCAATCGCAACCTCTTCCATCCTCTTCTTCATTGAATATTAGAGACCAACCACCTGACATTAACACCACGGCAGCATCATCACTTCCTCCCGAAACGAGTTTTTCACAACAAAAATTCGCCTATGAAGGATTAGCCCCATTTCTTGAACATGCCAAAGAAGATGGACTTGAATTTACATTTTTCACACATGAATTCCTTCAACGTCATTGGTGGAGTTTTTTCTATTTAATTATGGATGGTTTTGGATGGTTGATAGGTCCATTATATTGTTTTTCGAATTTATTGATGAGGTATTGGAGAAAAAAAGTTTGTGGAGTTTGTGTGACGAGGAAGAATGTGGCAGATCGAATTGAAGTATTGGGATGTTTGATGTGTCATCGATTTGATTGGTTAGGAACCAAATATTTGATTGTTTCGTTGATTTGTGTGAAAAAACGATTTCGACAACAGTAGGTCTCTGAAAATATTTTTCTAATAATTTCAATAATGTTTGAACCTAACCAATTCTTGAATTGTTTTTTGGAATGTTTAAGGTTTTTCGCCACAGCCATGGTCGATTTTTTAACCTATAATTTCAAAAAACAATTACCATTTTCAGAAATTGACGTGGTCATGGTTTCTGATGTCGACGCCTACGACAGTCCCTCATGGTTCCTATGTAATAGAGCCAATTTACAAGTGTGGCCTTTTATGCAACAGCTTAGTTGGTGGCGATTTTTTTATCCTTTCACATTATTCATTATTCCACATTACATTCCAGGAAAATTTATCCGAGCAAGAATCCTTAATGCCACACCTCCTTCGTCACATCACGACGAATCTGCCACTGCTGTAACCACCTCGAAAACTACCACAACCTTGCCAAAAACAAAATCCAAAACCACTCTTGCCCTCGAAAAAGTTTCTCATTTTGTAAAATCCTGTTTTTCACCTCAAGGAGAACGACGTTATTACATTGCTGCAGAAAATGTTGGATTTTACAGCTTTCTCGTTTCCACTCTATTTGGAATGCTCTTTCTCTTTCTCGGTCGACAAATGGTCAACGATGTGTATAATCTCAACCTAATTCGACATCATTTAGGTGCAGGTGAAGCTTTGAATTCAGACTCGAAACGAATTTACAAACTCGTTCCTTATCATGAAGCAAGTTATGGCCAAAGTTACAACTCTCACGAAAAACACTCCACCATATTTTCATGGCTCTATTTGGATATATTGGTTGCATTGACCTATGCATTTATTTTCCCCATCACAAAATTTGTGTGTGTGAATTTGACTTCCTTACTCATCAAGAAGAAGTTTTGTTTATTTCGATGTTACGATACCATGGCATTTGCATTCGGAATTCGAACTGTATTCACAGGCTCTCCCATTACCTTACCATTTATAGGAGGTTACTATATTGCAGATCCATCTTTTAATTACAGAACTCCAAAAGGACGAAAAACCATCTTTCTCATTGGATTACCCTTTGTCCTATTATGTTTAATGTTATTATTTGTCGTGACAGTTCCCTTATTAATTTTTAGATTTCACGATTATGTGAGTTTTTATGAACGAGAACAAGACAGTTGGTTCGTATGGTATTGTTGGTTAGGTTTCTTTGCAGCGTTTTATTCCATGTTTGAATGTTTTTGTGTTGTCTTTCCATCGAGTGCTTCGTATCACTTGTTGAGATATAGTAAGGTATGGACGGTGGTGATTATGATGGTGTGTGTCGTGTTGGTAGCTGGGTTTTTTACAGGATTACAACGATGGTTGTAGAGAGTGTGTGTGGATCAACCATGAACTGAATGGTTCAAAGGTTTTTAAAACACGAAGAATGAACTCGAGTTCGTTTTCCAACCAAAAAAAAATGTTTCAAGTTCCCTTTTCCCATGATGATTGCGCAATACTGGACAAATATTTGGGTTGCCTGCTCGGGATGGCTGTAGGAGATGCCTATGGTACTACTTTTGAATTTATTCCAAGACATGGAATTTCTGAAAATGATTTGACGTGAGTATTTTGTCCATCTCTATATTTATTTGATCTAATTTGAATGACATTTATTTTGAAAATTAGTGAAAATCTTGTGGGTGGAGGAAAATTCCGTTTAATGAAAGGCATGTTTACCGATGACACCAGTATGGCTCTGTTACAAGCTGAAAGTTTATTACGAGAGGATCATCACTCTGGAATTGATATTCTTGAATCATTGAAAAATTATCCCATGGATGCACCAAGTTCACACGATCAAAAAACCAGTTGGATTGAGAAAATGATTTGTGACCACACTCTATTGGATGGCAGAGATATTCAAAACAGATTTTTAGAGTGGTATAATGAAGGTCATTTGAGTGCCAGTGGTCATTGTTTTGATATTGGAAAAACTACTCTTGTACACTTGTTGAAGAATGAAAAAACAAAGGCTGCATTTTGTCCTGTAGCGAATTGGAATGATCAAGCGAGTGGAAATGGTGCATTGATGAGATTGGCTCCTGTTCCATTATATTATTATAATTTTTATGTGAAATTAATGGCAAATAGACAAGATCAAGATGAAAATTCAAAACAATTATGTGAAAAAGTACTTCACAGAGTCATTACAGAGAGTGGTATTTCAGCATTCACAACCCATCCTTCTGAGTTGGCGTTTGATTGTAACCGATACATGACTGCCTTAATGATTGGATGCATGCAAGGTGCTACTAAAGAAGATTTATTCAAAGATGCTTCAAAAGAACAATCCGAAGAATATCAATTGTTATTTGTACCTCATGGATTACCTCGTAATTATTGGGAACAATTTCCATTACGTAAAGAAGTTCGGGAAATGATTCAAAATTTCAAATCGAAGAGTTCAGATGAAATTGTCAATTCGGGCTATGCGGTGACTGCTTTCGAAGCTGCTTTATGGGCCTTCACATCCACAAATTCCTATTTTGAAGGTTTGAAAAAGGTGGTTCGTCTCGGAGATGATGCTGACACGATTGCATGTGTTTATGGACAATTGGCAGGATGTTTTTATGGTGTGAATGGAATTCCAGAACATCTCATTTCACAACTTGTATTCAAAGATTTATTGAAAATCATAGCGAAAGAGCTCTATTATGGTGGCAATGCTGGTGCTACTACTATTGTAAAAGGACAAGATGATGAAGAGAAGGAAATGATGTCTACACATGTCATTTACAAAAATGTCATGTCTTTGTATTATAATCTGGAAAATTCCTATAAGGACATTCACAGACGATCTAATCCATGTCCAAAGCAGTTCAAGACCATTGAAGAATTTGATTTGGCAGTTTCACAAATGATCCAAGAATTTGAAAAGCATCAAGCGGAAATTCTTCTTACATTGGAAACATCATTGAAAGAATTTGTTCTTTCCATTTCGAATTCAATTTTACAAGATTTCAAAACCAGATGTGATTGTTTCACCAAACCTCCTCTTCAAGATCGATTGAATCGTTTCACAGTTCCTCAATCGCGACCACTTATAAAATTACAATAGTGAAGAAACTATTTTCGCAATCTATTGACAGGTTTCCTGTTTTCCATTCATTCTCTGTCTGTAACTTTGTTGCTGTCAATTTTTGGCATCCAAAATTCTTCTCGAGCTCTGTAAATTGAAACGAGTTAGAAATCTATTTGTGATCATAAAACAAAAAAAAATACAATAAGAACATTCTTAGTTCTTCTGAATTATCCAACAACAATACCCATCTCTTGAGTGCAACAACAACAAGTATGAATAATTTTACTGGCATTCCATCATCAGACCGCGGTAATGGCAATTTCATGACACCTTCTCAACCATCGTATGGAGTTCCAATGCCATCGGGATCGGGATTTGCTCTTTCACCCATTCCGAACGCATTAGTGGATCAATACATTTCTATTCAAAATTCCATGAATCAATTAGCAGTGTTTATACCACAATATAATTCTCAAACAGTTATGGTTCATTCGTTACAGGAACAAGTGAATCAACAACGACAAGTTTTGCAATCGGTTTCATCTCAGGTCATCAAGGAGAAGAAGGACGTTGAAAAACTCCACAAACCATCCATTTCCAATTTCTTCTCAAAAGCTCTGGATAAGAATGGTTTTGATAAAAAGATTGAAAAGGAAGAGCAAGAATATAAAGCAATGATTGAAAAGGAACGCCAAGCAAAAACTCAATTAGAAAATTTGGAAACTCAACTCATGCAAGCCAAGAGCATTCAAACTTCACTCTATCAACACGTTCAAATGTATGAATCTAAAACTCGTGAACTTGAACATAGCATTGATCGAATGATTGTGGCAGCATGTCTTTCACCACAACATGTCATTCCCATGACACAACAAGAAATTTTCATGAATCAAACCAAGAGACAACAAATTGTAGTATACCTTTCTCAATATAAGGCTGGACTCACAAATCTGCAACAGGCTTACACGTTATTACAATCATGCTATCAGAGATTATCGGAAGCTAAGAATCTTGCAACGGCTGACTTGTTTATGAATGGTGGGCTAGCGAACATGTATGTGGACAGTATGAAGTATGAAAATCTCAATAGAGCCAATGATGATGCAAAGAAAGCGAAATTGTTCATTGCTGAGGCAGTTCGACAATGTCCTCCTCTCGCATCTCAGCCACTGTTTGTGGCCAAAGTGACGCAAGGAGATTTTGTTTTTGATGTTTTCTTTGACAATATTATTTCTGATTATATTGTTCGAGAGAAAATTAGAAAGAGTAAGGAAGCAATGGGAGAGTCCATTCAACAATTAACCATCACACTGAATTGGCTTCAAATGACTTGCATTCCTCAAATTGAGAGAGATTTACAACAAGTTGATCAAGTCATTGCCTCCCTTTCCTCCACGTTACAGCAGGAACGTATGGCTATTGTCACACAGGCACTCAATCAAAAAGCATCACAACAATCTCAATTACCAGTCATTTCACTTGGCATTCCAGTTCCTTCGCAACCACAAATTCCACCCATTCAAACTCATCCACAAACATTGGTCGATTTGTCGAATCAACCTTTCAATCCTACATTTTCCAAGTGAAAGCTTGTCAAAGTCAACAACTAACGTATCAACTAAACTCTAAACCTGTTTGTCGTGTAAACAATGATTTTACAAAGAAAATTTCATCCTTAACCAATGAAGCGAGCAAATTGTGGTTCTTAAAGTGGCTTGGTGTTAGTTTGCCAAATATATAGCCTTACCTAGCCCAAGTCAAGGCAAGATTTTACCAAATCTTAGAAATGGAATGCATGCTGAGTGGATGGGATCCTTTTAGCAACCCATATTTGACCAATTACCTTTTTTTACAGTAATGCCAGAGCAAGACAACGCACTTGCATTTGGCAAAACAAATTAGAAAAATAATTGTCACCATTTAGTATTCATCATCATATCAAACACCATGAAGAATAGGCTTTTAGCAGGATCTTGTTGCCGCATGAGAAACCAATTTAAACTGATCCATTTATACCGTACTACTACTTCAACTCAACTCAGATTTGTGAGAGTAAGTGAATGGTTCTTACAAAATTGTGAAAATGGTCATATCTTTTATCATAAAAACAACAGACCGAGTTAGCGGTTGGAGAGGAAAAGGCAGATCAAAGGTGAGTGAATTGCGTTCATGGTTGAGAATTGAAGTTAACCAAAAACATCGATCTGTTTTGAAATATTGACAACACTGACAACGTTGACAGATTTGATGGAGCAGTGAATAAATCGTTGAAAGGAGAGGCTACTTCTACGGTTCCAGAATTTGAAAAATGGAATGAAACACTTGCATCGTCTTCCGAAGCTATTGTAAAGGCAGAGCGTTCGCATGATATGTCTAAGGAAGAATTGCAAGAGCAGACCATCAAAACGTTGCAGGAAATGGAGAAGAAGGGAGAATTCCCATTCGATGACACTCAGTAAATAATAAAAACCATGATCATTTGATCTTACGCTGATGACCATGATACTTGTCAACAATTACCACTCGTGGGATAACTCTTCGCGAATCATTCTCACATAAAGAGCTCACATAATTTATTGCTCACTTCCAAAGAATGACTTGTAAGCTTGCAACTTAGGTGACATTAGACTTTGTCCAGCCTTCTCCTTTTCCTTGACATACTCCTTGTATGCCTTGATACCCTTGGCAACAATTTGACGGGCCTCAGCTGGTCCTTGGTAACCCTCAACCTTAACAACCTTCTTTTCCAACTTTTTATAGTCCTCAAAGAAAATCTTCAATTCTTGTAACTTGTGTGGTGGCAATTCAGCAATGTCATTGTAATGATTGTATTCTGGATCGTCAGCGTGGACACAGACAATCTTGTCATCTCTCTCACCTTGGTCAATCATGATCATGACACCGATTGGCTTGACTCTGAGGAAAATCATTGGAGCAACAGATTGTTGCATCAAGACCAAAACATCAAGCTGTTGTGTACACATTTGATAAGTTCACAATGGTCATCATTAGTTTCATGGTAGTACCATTATTCATCACATGTGTGAAATTTCTCATGCAATTCGTACAAACAACTTACTGGGTCATTATCTTCACCATAGGTTTGTGGAATGAAACCATAGTTGGTTGGATAGACAACCTAAATGAAAAGATAATTGAATATTTGGAAATTTGAGAATTTTCAGAATCATGCCGATTAAAACATGATGATAATTGAATGATAACCACTTACAGATGAAGAGAGAATACGGTCGACCTTCAACAAGCCAGACTCTTTATCCAATTCATACTTGACCTTTGAACCCATTGGAATTTCAACAAGAGCATTGAAAATGGTTGGGTCATCTTCAGGGACGTCCTCTCCCTTTTCACATCTCCACTGTAATAATTAAATTGTGAGAAAGTGCGAGTATGGGATTCATTTCATTCAAAAATTAATCTCATCATGCCATGGGAACAAAATTGCAATACTACATACAGCTATGTTGTTCATCATATATTAATTATAACATGATTCCGCCATGATGATGATATTATCAAGCCAAATTGAAAATCATCAATACGGACAATTCATTGACCCAAGCCTCCTATTTAATACTACCACTACCACCATCATTTCGTCTTACTTACACAAATCTATTCATCAAAATTATCCCAAGCCGTTAATAATCATCCTCGCCAAAGAATTCAAACCAACAATACCTACCGTGCCATGCGTGAGCCATTTTAGTGAATCAAATTGCTGTTGTTGCTTTCGAAAATTTTTTAATTCGAAATTTTCGCGTTTATTATTTTCCTTGCTTGACCATCAGGACGTCTCACTCTCTCTGTTCAATGCTTTGTTGGTGTGTTATATTCCAATTGAACACAGACCCAATCACGAGTAGCTTCTCCATATTGTTCTGAAATGTCTTGTAAGGTTTTGTTCAATAATTGAGTGGCATTGAGTGCTGCATTTTCTGAAGAGCTCGATAAATCAACGGTTCGATTGGTGTGCCTTTTAAGAAATTGAGATGCCTCTTCATGAGCACCCACAGCAACAAGATCTGGGATCCATGTTAAACCTCTCAACGTTTTAAAAGTAGTGGTCTTTGTGGTTTCTTTCTTGTTGGCAGCATTTGTTTCTCGTTTCTCCTCTCTATACACACAACAACCTTGAGAAAGGTACGTTCTCGAATAACAATCAGCTACCAAAGCCAATTTCATTTCATCGACTGCTGTTTCTTCTTGATTTTGCCCTGGAGAAGCATTCACTAAAATTCCAACCTTTTCATGTTTCCAAAAGCTCACAAAATTACTCGACAATGTGAACGCTCGTTTCAGGGTCAGCTTGAAATCATCACTACAATGTTGTGCACTCCAATCACTAGCTCCAAATTTCACAGCCACTTGTTGAGCATGTTCATGTCCAGCAATGGCTTCAACCAATGCTAAACTCACAGGAATGGAGGCAGAAATTCCAGAAGTAGAAATAAGAGTCCCATGAGATGCAGTGGTAGAAACGACATATCTTGCATTGCTTACCCATTCCACATGAGGATGTTGTTTTCGTAACTTGTCCATCGAATACCAATGACCTACCCCGCGTAGTGGTGTTGCTGTTGTCGTCAAGCATGTCTCATCCTTTTCAAACAAACCTGCATGGACAACAACCCAAACACCATCACAAATACTAATCACAGTGGCACCTTTCTTGAATTGTTCTCTCACAAATTTCAACAAGCGAGTATTGGAATTGTTTTTCACAGCAGGTACGAATAAATAGTCAGCTCCCTGTGGATACTGTTCATTAAACTCATCGATATGAGTATGAGCCAGAAGTTTGCATGAAGTGGGAAATAAGTGAATGGGTTCGTCTTTCAAAGTCGAAACAGTCAGCACTCGGGAAGCAACATTGGCTTCAACAAGAACACTGTATGGTATGATGAAATCAGTCAATTCCGTTCCAGATGTTTCACCAATCAATGCAATCAGTGGCTTGTCATAGGATGAGTTTTTTGGTGAAAATTTGGGTAGTGCCGTTGTTGTTGTTGTTGTTGAGGAATGGTTGGGAAGGGATGATGATGACATGAATAGATGTTGGTTGTTGAGAATAGTGTTTTTCTTTGAGAATGGTAAAAAGCGAGAGGATCTCGGGATGAGTGCAAATTTGCAGATCATGATTTTGGAATGCCATTAGAAATGGATCCTTATCTTGAACCGCGGAGTGTGACAACTTCACGAGGACTTCACTTTGATATCATTCGAAAATGTCTTAATTCTCAATTACACACTCGAAATTCATCTGAGGTAGTAGTAACTTGCAAATTCAGATTGGAATATAACCATCCTAGTTATTTGTAAGTTTTTCTAAAGGACTTTAAATGATTTCGTTTCGCCCAAAAACTTTCATCAGCATCCCAAAAGGCATTTAGAGCAATATTAAATCCACAACAACAACAACAACAACAACAACAACAACAACTGCTTGCGTCATCTTCACACGAGGAAGCACGTTCTCCTTCCGATAACACAGCATGCCACCATCCCATTGGCAACAACAATCCATCTCCTCTTTCGAGTGGTGCTTCCAAAAACTGAACTCGACCACTTCGTGGATACTGATCGAGTTGAGGTTTCCATGCATTGACCTCTGAAAATCGATAAATTTCTCCTTTCATATCTTGTCCTTTGCATGTTTTAAAGGTGTACGGATAGAGATCAAGATAATGTGAAGGAGATGCCAATAGGAAGGTCTTTTTTCCACGAATTTGTAACATGAGATTGTGAGCACAGTCAAAATGAAGCCATGTTTTTTGTTGATCATGACCAAGCCATATTCCTAAACTGGATAATTCTTCGTGATGAGTCAATTCGTTCATGATGAATTGAGTAAAATCTTGACAATCGTTTTGTAATTGTTCCAATTCTGATTTTGCTGTGTCTGAAGCAAGATCGCCTTGTAATGGCTCGTACGGTTGATTGTGTATTATTGGTAATGTCTTTGAATGGAGAAATTCTTGATCATCATTTAGTTCCTCATCACTCTTTTTTGATGAAATTAAGTTTGATCCCGATAAATAATATCTTGTGGAGTGATTGTTGGTGCGTTGTAATTTTTCAATTTTGTGTAATAATTGGGGAATGGTCATGGTTTTCAGAGTTCCAGCACCTGGGATGTGAACTTGTTCTGTAGTTTTTGTAATTTGAAATGGGATGTGGGAGTATGATTGTTGTAGCTCGTTCACAGTCCAACTCATGCACTTCATTGAATGGCCAAGGCCTTCAATAACGATCGGAGTGTCCTTTGCCAATAAATCGGAGAGTATTGTTGATTGTGAATTTTGGAAATCAGAACTTTTTACCATGATCTCTGAAAATGTCAATCTTTGAACTTGTTGCATTTTTTTGTTTTGTCTGACTGTGTTCTCTCATCCTCTTGTCGACAAAATGGTTATCATTGAAGAAGAGCTCAATAATAA